AACCATACATAGTTCTTACCTTTCCCCCTGTTGACCCACAGATGGGGCATCATGTAGGCTATGGGGATGGGTTCCCACTTGAGAGGTAGCTCCAAGGCTGTCTCAGAATGAGGACTACAGAGGGTGACGTAGGCCTCCCTTATAACTGACTATTCACTGGTCATACGAGGACGAGACTACCACTCTGGTGGATATGGGTGCTGAAGGCACAGGAGCCCACGGCCACAGAAGATGCTTTCTGGATCCCTGAGCAGTGACTGGTGGGAACGAGGGCATGACTGTTCAAGCAAAACAAGTGTTGTTGTGCCCGGGGAACTGGAGAACACCTCCACTCCATGTTTTCTGTTTATCTCCCTGGTCTCTGAAAACACTCTGGGGATGGAAATTCTATACAACACCTCTAGGCTTTTGGCACCAGCTCTAGGAATGAGCTGAAACTGCATACGTCCCTTTAGAACTAGCAGTTTCTGGCAGTACAGTGACCCACGACAGGCAGAGCCACTCACCAACACTGCACTGGTTACAATGGGAAGACAAGCCTACCATAGAAGAAAGGGTGAACTGCAGGTTTCGCTGGTCCCAACAGTAAGTGCAGCCCTCTACTCTTAGTAAGTGGCATGAGCACAGCATCCTCTACAAGTTCTCAATTCCTGCATACAGTGTTAGGTGCAGCTCTTCTGATCCCCTTGACCAGAGTGGTAGGTAGAGTTGGCCTACATGTGCTAAAGTAGGATGAACATAGCCAAGGAGCAGTCAGGTGTGCATATACTTCCAGCCCCAGCCTTTGATTCAGAGCTGGATCTGTAGAGTTGTCCAGTTCACAAGGACTAGCAGGTTGACTATGTCAGTCTTTTGCTAAATAGCAAATGACATAAATATGCCTTAAGCTGTGTAGCCATAGCTCCAAGCCAAGCTTTTCCTAGTGAGAGCTAAGCACAGAGCTGAACATCCAGCAAACTAATGTGTAGGTAACTGCACTGCACTCACCGTGACCAGGGAACCCAGAACCCGTTTCAATCCAAGACTGGAACTAAATCTATGTAAGCAAACTAATGTGTAGGTAACTGCACTGCACTCACCGTGACCAGGGAACCCGTTTCAATCCAAGACTGGAACTAAATCTATGTGTCCTGCACTGCCATCTAACTCTTGGGCCACCAGACTGGCTGCAGGGGAACAGGTAATGATCTTACTATACAAACCATCTTGGTTGGCTTGACTGAAGACTTTGAAAATGTTAATTAATCTCTTAATATCTGAACAGCTGGTGTGCCCTGCCCTTAGGAGTCTAGGAGGCTCCCTGCCTCAGAGAAACCCTCAACCCCCAATGTGCCCCAGGTGCCCACTGCTAGGGTTGCTGCCAGACACAGAGAACTTCAGTATGTACACTACAGCATGCACAACCCAGAATGGGATGATGGTGGGAAGCAAGAGGCTTGTATCCCACCACGCCCTTCTCATATAGGTTGGCTATTTCTTGCCAGTGTAAACGTCCCCAGTTCTCAACTTGATCCCTTGATTCTGCTGTGGCAAAATCTGTGGGCACTGCAGCTGCTGGCTGCCAGTTCACCCCCAGCTTTAAAGTATTTTATTATTTTGTGTATGAGTGCATTGCCTGCATGTATGTAAGTGCACCATTGTTGTGCAATGCCTGCAGAGGTCAGAAGAGGGCTTCGGATCCCCTGGAACTAGAGTTACGGGCAGTTGTTAGCCGCTATGTGGGTGCCAGGAATCAAACCTGGGTCCTCTGCAAGAGCAGTCAGTGCTCCAAACTGCTGAGCCATCTTTCCAGCCACCCCCCCCCCAACTCCCAGTTTTAAGAAGCACTCATGGACTGCTATGGCCTACTCACACCAGGCCCCACTCAGCACTGAAACACAGGGCCGCCTTGCTGGATGGTGCACATGGACTTACCACATTCCTACTGTTTTCATCCACAGTGGAGGTCTTTTTGTAGTCGTCCACTGGGGCATAAGCTCACTTGCTAAAAACCTTAGGTTGGATTCCCCCCCTTCCCCCCACCCTGTCACTCACAAAAAGAAACTCCCTTTTGTAGGAGACATGCTAAGTATTAGTTTGGTTCTTAGGGTTCCTGGTGGGAAAACTGATCAGCTCTTCTCGTGCATGAGACTCTCTTGCAGGCTCAAGGTACAGTGCAGAAAGTGCATGAGATTCTAAATCAGTTAAGGAATGTAGGAATTCAACTTAGCACAATTATAGTCATTTGGAGGTATAGCCAATGTAATGCCCTGGTTAGAGTTCCCTCATTTCCCAGCATGCTATCAGAGTGGTGTGTGCCTTACACAGGACTGAGACTGCCGCTATCAGGAGTGTGCCTCATAGCTTTGCTTTTAGAAATAAGCTGCCTGAGATCCTGATTACTACTTTGTTTCCTATCTCTAAGCCCAATCACCAGGCTCCACTGGCCTTACTACCCTGCATATTGCAATCTCAGATCTGTCTGCCATGGGTGTCATAGCACCTTGAGATTTCATATACTAACTAGAACAGGAGTTCAGAAATAAGTATAGACATATCCAGCTGATTTTTCTATAAGGCTATAGGAAACAAAGTAGCCATTTTCCAAAGTCGTCCAGAGTATATTCTCTCAATGAAAACCACAAATATAGTAACTAATATTGAGTAGCTATCAGAAGCTGGACTGCATAAGGTCCTAGGCTCCATCCAGAGTCCACACACACACACACACACACACACACACACACACACACACACGCACACACACACAGAGAGACTGGGCATTGTGCTCACTGACTGACTCATAGTATTTCCTCTATTTCCTGTAGAGTAACTATGGGTATCAGTGTTCTTACCTATCTCAGATAAGGAAACCAAGGCTCAGGACATCTCTTTCCCACTCCTTTTGTGCATTTGTGTGCACACGGGTGTGGCAGAGGACATTGTTTTACCTTCCACCAAGACACCTATGGATCCCAGGCTACCTGGCCTTTGAACTTCCAGAGACTCCTGTGTCCACCTCCCATGTGTCACACACAAAGACACACACACAGAGTGGAGCAGCACTGGGATCCCAGAGTTGAGCTCAAGGTCTCACACTTGTTCTACAAGCACTCTACTTATGGAGCCATTTCCTCAGCCCGTTACACACTGATTCTTTAAATGAAAAGGGAAAAGTTGGTTCTCGAATTCTACAATGAAGATAAAGACTAGATACAGCACATAGATCATCCACGCACTGTGAATGATATAAATTGTTTTCTTCCAATCAGGTTTTAAGCAAGGAGTAAGGAGTAATCTTGGTATGTGGGAGGTTACGGCAGAAGGGTCTCGAATTTCAGGCCAGTCTGCAGGACAGAGTGAGACCCTGTCTCATTATTTTCTACTATTAATTCTTTGGCCTGGAAACATGCCAAGGGGGCTTTGAACAGTAATTATCTACTTAACATATAACTTAAGCTAAGTAGGTAAATAGCTTCATGGCTGCTGAAATACTTTCCACGCCCAGATAAATGTAAAGCACAGGGCAGAAATGGTGGGCTATCCTGAGGACAGAAGAGAAAAAGAATCAGCTGGAAAGTGCAAAGGTCAGGAAATTGCAGCTCACTCAGGAGTGGTTATGTATGTGCTGTGCTGCTTGGCAGCACAAATTTTGCTGGCCTCTTCGTCATGGTCTTCTCAAGTATTTATCTGGATCTACAAGAATGAACTTGAGTTTCCTCTTGGTATGTTACTTTATTGTTATGGTAAAAAGTCTTACTTGATAAAACATTATTTAGTAAATTGGTTTAATAAGACTGTAAGTTGCTTGATAACAATCTCCTTAGTTGTTGTTAGTACCTCATAAGTATTTGATCTATAGTTAAAAGCTTGTTGAACAGATTAGCTATTAGATTTTAACTGATGCATTGATAGTTGTTCTAAGGTCTTAAGCTGTAAATTATGTATTATCTTAAAGCAGCAATTTTTCTATGAACAGCCATTTATATGTAAATTCATTAAAATACATAGAGAGAATACAGGGGCACAGTGGTGAATTTCTATAATCCCAGCACTCAGGGGAGTTGATGAGCAAGGGGCCAGCCTGTGCTACACAGGACAACTCTTAACTTAAGCAAACCAAACCTGGAGTTAATTTAGAATTGGTAATTTGTCACCTACTTTCTTGTTTTTTTGAGACAAAGTTGTATTATGTGGCCCAGGCTGGTCTCTAACTTTTGATCCTCTTGTCTCAGCATTCTGAGTGTTGGAATTACTTACATATGTCACACTGGCAACTGTTAAGACTTACTTTTATAGAGGGAGGAACTCCCCTCCCACAAGCAGGCCTTAAATAATGCACAACATAGCTCAGGATGGCTTTAAACTTCTAGTCTTCCTGCCCCTGCCTCCTAAGTGCTGGATCCAGGCATGTGTCCTCACACTGAGTATTAAAAGTGCTGGGCCCCAACCCAGGGCTTCATGTATGCGGGGCAAGTATTCTACTAACTGAGTTACATCTCCAGCCCCCCAAATACATTTATTAAAAATAGGTACCAGGGGGCTGGAGAGACGGCTCAGTGGTTAAGAGCACTGACTGCTCTTGCAGAGGACCTGGGTTTGATTCCCAGCGCCCACATGGTGGCTACGAACCATCCTTAACTCCAGTTCCAGGGGAATTGGAAGCCTGCCTCTGACCTCCACGGCATTGCACTGACACAGGTGCACTCACATACATGTAGTCAATACACTCATCTAAAAAAAAAAAGGTATCAGATGTTTATAAGCAACAACAAATTGCAGTGGTTTAAATAATTATTACCTTGACAGTGTACTTCTTGTCAGTCATTTTTATTGTGCTACTTGTACCAAGGAATGAAAGTGTTTACTAAATTATGCTTAGATCTTTGTTATTCATTTAAATAAGTTTAATATTCCATAAATGACAAGCAGCTTAAATACAAATTTGGTAACTATCATTAAAAAATTAATAAAATCAAAGTCCGTTAAAGTTTCAACAAGGCAATGAAACATTTACTGACCTGGCTGAAAGGCCGCACTCGCACCGCCACTCGCACACGGTCGGTGCCCAGCACAGGCGCGTTCACTCGCTCATTATCCATAATGCTATTTGGTAGAAAAATAACACACAGAACACACGCTATGCTTCACACTAAAAACACTGAAAGCTTAGCTGACACAGGCAGTCTGTTTCTAGGTATCAACGTTCCATTCATTACATACTATCAATTACCTGTCATAAATTATTTCACAACACTTAAATTATTAATGAATTTCACGGCCTCCATCAAGTACCATTGCTTAACTGCACAGTCACACAGCACGTCGCATGTTTCATTCTTCCCAGGCTCCAGCATCTGTGCCTGAGGTCCTGTGATAATCTGCTCGTCTAAAAACCTGAATAGTAAGAGATTTCCATGATTCAGTAGCAAGCTCCTTCACAGCATGAATATTCCTTGGCTGAACTACTCATGAATATTCGGTTACACACATGGTGCACTGGCAATCTCTAAAACAGACTTTACATTTCTTTTTCAAATCCTTTCACGAGGTTGCTAAGAAGCAGTGAACCGGTCAATCTAACCTGGATAATCAGTCTCTGAATTGAGAGACAAGATAGTCTTTGAGTTACTGAACAAGAAATGCCAGCATTATAGTTAACCAGTGCATTACTTGAAGAATTATTGTTTTGAGGTAGATTTCACAAAATTTGTAAAACTACAAAAAGGCAGCAAAAAAATCACATGCCCATAATTCAAATTCAATGTAAGTATCAGGCAAAGCCCAAATAAAAATACATATAATGATTAGAAATCTTAGTAACAGAAACAAAGTGCATAAATTATAAAATAGCAACTTTAAAAAACAATTTAATTTCCTTCATTTTAAGACTGGTCTACTATCTTAACACTAGAGGAAAATGGAGAAATGCTTACTTGTATATAAAATCAGGTAAAACAGAAATCCCCTCTCAAAAATCTAACAGACACGAAGTGAATACTTTACAGTCGTTTATTTAACATCCCAATAATAAGTCATATTTACATATTATATAAACGTACGAAGTCTTATAAAATGCCTGGGCTAGAACCATACTCCATATGGAGTTACTATACTTATTTATGTCTGTTTACAAAATTTTACAATTATATAAATTATTTCCTTCCAAATTAGGTGACTTTTAATAATCCACACAAATACCGATGACTTTACAAACATGTACATTAAAATTTTGGGGGTAAAAACTACAGCATTTTTCTGCGTAAAATTTGCTTTGGAAAGGAAGACAGCTTCTTTTTGCCCCTTGCAAGAGTTTTTCCTGCTACTTCTGTAGTCTTTCTTGGTCTCCTGATCTTTACTTCATCAACTGGGCTTGCCAAGGGAGAAATGAGCTTAATTTCTACTGGTGGAGGTGACCAACTTTCTTTTCCTGTGTTTCTGAAAGAAAGGTAATCATGTAAGAATAAGCACACTGAACCGTGAATCTAGCTGGCTTCTCAACACTGGTCTGGTCAGCTGTTCTCACTTTGTTGGAGAGGTAGAGTTTATGGTAAGTCAAGTACAGCTGGAAGAGGTAGGCTAATCAGAGGCAGAGCTAGGGCTTCACTTAAGAGAACCCTGCCACCCCTCTAATCTGGATGTTCAATAACAACCCTTTCTAAACAGTCCTTTAAATGATTCATATCTTGATATTGCTGTGTTGTAAGGATGGTCTAAAAACAGTCAGTTTATGGAATGAGAGCCAGCACGTCTGTGGAACTTGCAAAAAATTGCAATTCTGATGTTAGGCTAGCTCTCACTTGTAATTCTAACACTCAGGAAGCAGAGACAGGAGTCTTGAGTTTGAAGTTAGCCTGGTTTACCCAGCAAGTTCCACATCAGCCAAGGCTAAATATCAGCCCATGACTTGATGTCAGAAAAAGCAAAAGGCAATTCTGGTCTGGGCACATCAACCTGAGGGAGTATTTCCTTAGCACATGGATGGCTTTAGGTTCAGAGCACTGCCACACGCACACAACGTGGTTGTGGGGACCCTCAAACAGCCAACAATAGCCAATCAGGAGTACCACAGCACATACAAAGGCAGTTTACAAGTGAGCAGTGTTATTAGTCAACAGTTGCCTTGTCTCTTTAAGAGACAAAATGGATGGATTTGTACTTTTATTCAAGTTAGCACAGAAGGAACAGAATACTGTGAAACACAAATATCTGAAAAGGATAATATTGCTATGTGGAAAATAACTGCAGGATTTTAAAGTTTACAATTACTAAGTTACCCATCTTTATTAATGAAAAGGCAAACTGTCTCTTCTCTCCCCACCATATCCAGTGGGCAATAACCACTTTCAGACCCTGTGCTTTTTACAAAGCTGAAAGGGCCTCACACTCACTCCATGGACAACTCTAGCTGCAGCAGTGGGATCTAACAGTGTCAAGGAGTCTGCTAGAAATGCCCCCAAGAGTCAGGCATGGTGGTGCACACCTTTAACCCCAGCACTCAGGAGGCAGAGGCAGGCGGATCTCTATGAGTTCCAGGCCAGCTGGGGCTACAGGGAGACCCTGTCTCAAGAAGACCAAAAAAAAGCACCCCAGAATTATCCTTTCCTAATGACTCTACAGAACAGATGGGGGATTAAAGAATAGAAGATGCTACTTACCTGCTTGCTTGTTTTGTCTTTGTAGTCCTGATTCTTTTCACTTTCTGTTCTCCTATGATTTCTAATGGCTTAGTGTCACCTTCCTATGGGTTAGAAATTTATAAACACAAATTGTTTAAGTAATTAAACATTTAAAATTTGAATTCAAAAGTACTCCGTTGACTCAAGGAGTTACAGTCCCGGATGAACTCCTCTGATTCTTTAGTAGAACTCCTGACCAACTAGAACTGTTCTTTGAGTTTAGCCTCTTCTCTAAGTCTTGTCAGTTTGACGTTACTGTCCACTACCTTTCTGCTACTCCCTTGGCTAGGAATACAGGTTCTTATAGGGACTGGGTGACCAGAGATGCTTTTTCTCCTCCTTAGACTTCATCTTTCATAGAACTACCTGAAACCTACACAGGACTATTTGCTAGCTGGTGGAGACTTTAACCTGCCCACACCATACTACCATGTTTCTGGGTTTCTGCAGCTTTTTCTGCCAGGAAGGCCTGCCTACTCTACCCTACAGGGGCATGTGACTAGAAATCATGAAATCAACTTATCACTCATGTTTGTCTCTTCAATTAAACTGTATTTCAATTAACTGTCAGTTGAATTATTTTGTATAAGCCACCCACGGAAGGTAATTTAACAAATGCTTATGAGCTCATATTCATAAGCAAAGCAACTGGCACTTAATCCTTGAAAAAGTTTCATTCTAAGGCTGTGTGCAAGAGACTACCAAATCAACTTTTTTTACTTAAAAATTTTTTTATTTTTTTAAAATTTTATGTGTATGCATGTATTGCCTACATGTAGGTAAGTGTACCCCTGTCGTGCAATGCCCTTGGGGGTCAGAAGAGGCTGTCAGATCCCCTAGGACTAGAGTTACTGATAGTTGCTAGCTGCCATGTGGGTGCTGGGATTCAAACCCGGGTCTTCTGCAAGAACCACCAGTGTTCTTAACCACTGAGCCATCTCTCCAGACCCCAAATCAACTCTTAAAACTTTTCAGGAATGCTCTCCAAATGACACACCAATTATCTTAAGTAAACACACCCAGATGATTTTGATAAAGCAGTTAAAAAAACAAACAAAAAAAACCCCTTTGCCCTAACAGGTAATTCGAGGGAGGATAACAGTTTGAGGCTTTTGATGCATGCTATCTTTCAACAAATTTACTTAAGAGAAATTTACTTAAAGTACTTGTAATCTCAGCACTCAGAAGCCTGAGGCAAGATCATGAGTTCAAGACCAGTCTGGGGTATAGAAAGAAGAGCTTGCAACAAAACAACCAAACCAAACCAAACACAAACCAAACCAACAAAGCAAAACAAAACAAGTATGTTTAAAAAAAATAAACATTACCCATTCCTTACCAGTTCATCCAAAAGCTTTGAAGTATTTTTCCTCTTGGTTCTCAAAGCAGGAGGTGAGACAACAAACTGAGAAGACAAATCTGATACAAATTCTTTCAGTTGCCCAGCTGCTTTCATGTTGTCAGCTAAAGGACAGTTGGGAAAACAAACAAAACATTGTACCTCTGCATCTTAAGGGAAAAAAAATGCATAGGGGTGGGGGATAGGGACACAAATACAATCACATGTTAACAAAAAGCTTAGAACAAATGACAAAGAAACATGCAAACCACCCTACCTAGAACACACATACTAATTTATTACCCTTGCCAGTAGAGAGAAATGATAGAGGAGTGGGGAAGGGAGGATAGGGCAGGGCAAAGAATCACAGTATCATTTAGGTAAACCAAATGTCTAGGAATAACATTACAACATACAGACCCAGACATGGTGGCACAAAGCTACTATTTATTAGTTTAATCCTTCATGCTTCTAAAATGTCCTAGGGAAAGCACTGATTTCATATAACTAGTTTGCATATCATAGATTTTAGATGAGGTTTCAACTATACAGTAAATGGTTTAGGCAAGAGCAAGTTCTTATGGGAAGAAATGCAGACATTAACCCTGCTCTCTACCTCATTCTGAGCTACTTGCTCCAGTCAAGAGAAACAGAAAGGTTCATGTCACAAAAGCAGAAAGTTTAGCTGAAAAATAGAAGGCTATAACACAGATGAAAAAACAGTTCAGTGCACTACACCTCCTTAACGTTTTCTACAGTTTGTTAACTGTTGGTGGGGAGGTGGAGACGTTATTTCAGGGTGTAGCCACTAGTAAGGTGCCCATCCATGCTCCTGTAAACAACTTTCTTATTGTGCTAGAGAGATGGCTCAGTGGTTAAGAGTACTGGCTGTTCTTGCAGAGGACCAGGGTTCAAGTCCCAGTACCCATATGGGGGCTAACAACTGTAACTCTAGTTCCAGGGGAATCCAACGCTGCCTTCTGATCTTCTCAGGCACTGCGTGACACAGGTGCACTTACATACATGTAGGTAATACACTTAATACAAATAAAATGAAAAAAAAGGGACTAACAACATCTATCTCAAAGTTCTGATGATGAAAGATCTGAACAATTTGTAGCATATAGCAAGTGCTTTATAAGTTGATTTCTGTGTTTGTTACGATACTGTTTCAAGAATGAGCTCTTGATAGAAAATTTATAAACACAAAGACAAATTAAAATTTGAATGTAAACCTGCAATTCCAGCCCTCAGAAGGTAGAGGCAGGAGAATTACACATTTGTGGCCAATTTCAAACAAAGTGAGGTCCAAATTCCCAAATCCCTTATCACTTCCAAAACTATCATTTCATAAAAGTTTCTTATACTAGGAACCTGAAAACAATTCAAATATCCCACAGGACAATGCTTAAGCACCTGTGGCATATTAGGGAAGATGAAATGCCACTAGTGAAGAAATCAAGCAACTCCAAAACTACAATGCTGTGTATGTTTCAGGTTTGGAGGAACTGGGGGAGGGCTCAGTGTTTGGTAAAGTGCTTGCTATGCAAGCATAAAAACCTGAGTTCAGATCCCAACACCCATGTAAAAGCTGGCCATAGTGGCATGTGCCTGTAATCCCAGTGCTCTAAGACACAAGGATGATCCTGAGGGCTTCTGACCAGTCAGTCTAGCCAACTGATGAGTTCGAGAGTCACTGGAGCATCAAACTCACAGAGATCTGCCTGCCTGTCTTCCAAATACTGTGAAAAAAGCCGTATGTTATCATGCCTGGCTCTCATTTTATAACTTTTATCTAACAAAGCAGCCTAATATAGTTAAAATTTCACATATTTCATCATACCATGTAAGTACAGGTAAAAAACAGAAAACTACCATGAAGGAAGGGGATTACTGAGTGCTACCACAATCACAGATGTTATAAAAATTAGTATGCTTGTATCTGCTGCAATAAGTCATTTTGAGGACAAATACCAATTACTTGAGGGGGGCCCTCAGCATAGGTATATGTAGTATGTATCAAACAACTAAGTATTAAACTTTGTTTTTGAGTAGGGGACCAGGTTGACCTAGATCTCACTATAACCCAGGCCAGCCTTAAACTCATGGTGATCCTCCTGCCAAAAGTGTTGTGATGTCATGCTCGGAAAAATACAATGTCTTTGAGGATTTTGCAAAGTGAGTATCAAATACAGAAAACTTCAGATTGGAGAGTTTTCTTTTTTTTAAAAAAATTATTTTTATTTATGTGTACAAGTGTATTGCCTGCATGTGTGTAAGTGTGCCTATGCTGTGCAATGCCCAAGGAAGTCAGAAGAGGTACTAGATTCCCCTGGAACTGGAGTTATGGTCAGTTGTTAGTCACCATGTAGGTCCTCTGCAAGAACAGCCAGTGTTCTTAAACCACAAAGTCATCTCTCCAGTCCCAGACTGAAGATTTTTAAAAACACAGGCTTATTTTCCTCCTGCCCTTCCTCAAGTCAGAAAGCAGCTACATAGGAGTGTTTCCTAATGCCTTACAAAAATCACATGATAGTTGGTTTTTTGTCTTTTTGAGAAAGGGTCTCCCTGTAGCCTCAGCTGACCTGGAACTTGTTATGTAGACCAGGCTGGCCTCCAGCTCACAGCTATCTGCCTTGCCTCTGCCTCCTAAGTGCTAGGATTAAAGAAAAGTGTGTGCTACTATGCCTGGCGCCACTTGAGTTTTTATTTTTATTTTTATTTCTTTTACATATGGAAGGCTTCACGAATTTGCGTGTCATCCTTGCGCAGGGGCCATGCTAATCTTCTCTGTATCGTTCCAATTTTAGTATATGTGCTGCCGAAGCGAGCACGCCACTTGAGTTTTTAAATGAATAAAGCTATCAACTGCTTTTCTGAAACATAAATTTCAAACTATAACTTAAGGAAAACCGTATTTTGTGTGCCTACAAAACCAACTTTACGAAGTGCTACTCTAAATGGCACCTAGTCAGCTATACCTATCTGAACTTTTGTATTATCACCTTTCTGGACATTTTTAGAAGTACTTGCACTGAAATTTTAATAGCACAGGTATCAGAAGTACTCACTCCCTGTTTGTGTACTTCACGTATGTATGTGCTTTTAAAAAACTGACTTTTATTTTATGTGTATGAGTGTTTAGTCTGCATGTAAGCGCACTATGTATGTGCAAAGCCCAGAGGCCAGAAGGTGGCACTGGAGCCCCTGAAACTGGAGCTATGAAGGTTGTAAGCCACCGTGTGGGTGCTGGGAACCAAACCTGAGTCCTCTGCAAGAGCAGCTAACACTCTAAACTGCTGAGCCATCACTGCTCCAGTCTCATGAATGTCTTTTTATACATACTTTCATCCTTCTGGGAGATCATCACCTTACTGAGCTTGTCACTGACGACGAGGCTGGGAATGCAGTAGGGTTTAAATAATGTCTATTGTGCTGAGCCACAAAAATCTACTGATGGTTCCCCACAAAATAATGTGGGTGTGTGGGTTATCACTGGGACATAAGCCAAAAGCTACGATATTTCAATTCAAAAACAGTGATTCTAGGCCAGAAGTGGTGGCACAGCTGCTATCCCAGCACTTGGGAGGTAGGGCCAAGAGGATACGGAGTACAAAGTCCTCTTCATCTACAGTGAGTTCAAAGCTAGCTTGGGCTAACAAAAACAAACAAGCAAATCTATTTAAAGGGAAATGAAATTAAGCCATTTAGATGTATGGACAGAATGAAGAGAAACAGAACAAAATAAAATTCATGTCAAGTGGATTATAGAATAGAAAAAGTCACAGAATCTGAAAATCAACTAGGAAACATGAAATGAAGGTCAATTTTGTGTGTTTTATGGGGGATGGTGTGTCTCTCATACTTATTTTTTTGGGGTGGGGGTTCTTTTTGAGACAGGGTCTCCCTGTAGCCCCAGAAGGCCTGGAACTCACTATGTAGACCAGGCTGGCCTTGAACTCAAGAGAGATCTGCCTGCCTCTGCCTCTCTCTGCCTAATCTCTGCTGGGATTAAAGGCATGTGCCACCAAGCCTGACATCTTATACTTAAATATTTAGTGCTTTTAATTAAATCATCAACTGGAAGAGTGCCTTTAAACAATCCAATTTTAGGCTATGTATCCTGAATGAGATTAAAATGAGGAATCAAATGAAGTACCTTTTGTTTTACTTGGAATCTTTGTTGCAAGAGGAGAAAATAAAGGTTCAGTTTTTGGTTCAGAAAAGTCCGGCAACAAGATGACCTTGCTAGACCTAGTCCTTGTGCTCCGGGAAGATTTAGGAAAAGCAGCAGTGGCAAACAATCTTTCCTCCTGGTCATGTGGGTCTTTGTGGGTTGATTCACCTGTGTGGTCTTCTGATACTGAGTACAATGCACGTTTCTGGCTTTGACTTTGAGACTTTGTAAGTGTTTTCTTGGAGGCCATCACCATGGTAAGCGCCTCATTTGGCACTAAGATGGACTGCTCTAGAGTGTTCTCATTTCTAGCTGGGGTGCTCCGTGTGGACCTTCGGATGCTGGGAACTTCTCTCTTCTTGGGACTAGTCTGTTCCTCAACAGCCTTGGGGTCAACAGTATCCAATGGAATTATTTTTCTTGGTCTACCACGTTTCCTAGGTGTGGCAGACACATCGAATTCTGCTTTAAGAGGTAACTGGGATAAATCCAGCTTGGGCTCCTTTGTCGCATTTAACACACTGGCCTCTTTGACACTTCCACGTTTTAGAGGCAATTGTTGGTCACTGAGTTTCTCATCTTGTTTACATTCTGTGTTCTGAGGAACTTCTAAATTAGTATTCCTTAATTTTTTTGTGGTTCCGCTATGACTTGCTGCTTTACTAACTTTTAGATTGTTAGTAATTTCAGCACTTTGATTTTCCACAGATTTTTTAATTCTCCGAGGAGTCCCTCTCCTAACAAATGAAGGCTTAACTTCTTTCCTAGAAGCTTCTTCAGTTGCTAGTTCTTGAGACTTCACTCTTTTCAGCTCCCTATCTGGAGTAACCTGTGGTTCCTGTTTCACAGCATCAGTATTTTGTAATGTGTCTTGATTAACTTCTTTTTTCTTCCTTCCTTTCCTAGGAGTAATGGAATTTTGAGGTGTTTGCTGGTTCTGAGATATTTCCTTTACACCGGAATAGGGACTTTCAGAAGACCCAGGAATTTCTTTTCCTTTTCTAGTTTTCTTGATAGTTGGTGGGCCCAACTTAGGAGGAGCAACATCTGCTGAGGACTCCTGCTGTTCTAATGAGATATTCAGGCTTTGGGCATGCTGCCTTCTTGTGCGAGTTCTAGTAGAAACCATGTCATCCCCCTGGCTGATGTTAACAGTCACTACACTCGCTTCCTGAACAGTCTTAAATGTAGATTTCATTAACTTGGTGGACCGTGTTGCCTTTGGGCTTAGTAAAGGTATATTTTCATGAACAGCCTGTTCCACTGCTTGTGGAGTAGTTTCTTTATTTCTTGTATCTTTAATTACATCCAACAAATTTTCTGCAATTGCCACTTTAATTGGTTCAGGCACATATGGCAAAGTCTCTACCTTGTGGGATTCTTGGTCACTAGTTATAACAGATGGCAAATTTGCAACATGTTCTCCATCATGTGCTAGAAGGGGCACAGGTTTCTCCTTAGTTGCTGTGTTAGCTGCTTTAGGTAACACACTAGGTGCCTCAACTTCTTCTTCACCTTCCAGTATCAAGGTAAAGTTGCTCTGGGCCACAAAAAGCTCCCCCTCCACATCGGCAATGTCACAGTCGGCAGAGTCTTTATCATCAGGTAGGTCACAAAACTGCTGCTCGATAGTACCAAGATTACACTGAAGTTTAAGTGTTCCTGACGGATACAGCTCATGAAATGAAAGATTCCTAGCCTCCTCTTCTGCATTTTGAACTTCAAGTTTTTCATGGTCAACCACCTACAATGAATTAAAGGTAAGAGATTAGTAAATGAATTATAAAATATGTAAAGGGAAAAGGATTTTAATAACCATCTCACTTTGTGAATTTTAAAATATAAAAACTACACCTGGCTTACAAGATATACACAAATGGGCTTACTTTATGAAATATCTATTTAAGAAATGAGACCTCACTCAGTCAAAATAACTAGACAGAAAAAGATCCTATTTTGATCCAAGTTAAACTAGAAATTCCACATTCTTAGCTAAAGACAGTATTAACAAAACCTTGAAAATCATTATTCTAACAAATCTGAGAAAATGAAGGTTTATTCTACTCTCACCCAAGGAAAAACTTAAGAGGAGAAAAGGAAATAACCCCAAACTGTAGTTTAACAATAATCCCCGAATTACCTAACTATCCACACTAAACAGCATGATCCCCAGAAGGTTGAAGAACAATTCACCTACATAAGCTCCCTTGGGCTAGACTCAATCTTCTTCCCTTTGCTGGGGCTGGCATAAACCATGAAATTCCTAAGGCTTTCAAGTTCAGTACCTCTCCTGCAAGGGTTTGGTGGAAGAAGGAATGGTCCTTGCATTTACCTTTTGGTAAGGGAAGGGGAGAAAAAGGAGGAGGCAGAAAGTAACAGAGAGATCTCCTGACCAAGAAGGTAGACATTATCACCCACCTAGACATGACATTTGCCCACTCCCCAAACATTCAGTGAGTTGATAGGTTGGAAATAATCTATAAAGGAGGAGTCCCACTTACACCATGCCCACATTTTATCAGCTTCCAAACTGGAGAAATAGGAATTTTAGCCATTTGTTTCACAGTGAGAGTACGTATAAAGATGAATGTATGAATTTAACATTTTATAAATTTATAAACTCCCCAAATTCCACATACTCAGATTTTTATAAAGAATTAGAATAATTATGAGAGTTGGTTTTTAATCTTAAATTCATTTATCATATGAAAGTTCCCTTCATAATGAAAGGGATTTGGTCATCTCAAGTACTAAATCTTTTCTGTATCATCCTCCCACAGATGTGCAAGGAGGAGAGCCTGGTTTACTGCATTGACTTGTTTTCATATACGTAGTCTTCAAGTGTTGTCAAGTAGCTGCTATGTTTATATTGATGGCTAAAACACCTTCCAATTAAAGCACGTAATAAGCAAAGAAACTGCTAAGTTGTGGCTTAACTTTTCATATTCATAAATACAAACTTCCTAAAGAATGTTATTTTATACTCTACAAATACTTATAATTTCTTTTTTGAATACGTATTTATGTTGCGGTCAAATAACAGAATACAGTTAAGTTTAAGTAATTTTATCTGCACACCTAACTAATCTAAAAGACTGACAAAGAATTTAAAAAAATTATTTTTTTTACATGAATTTCTTGAGTATCAGGAGGGCTGTCAGAAATTTGAGGCTTTTCTTCTGGTAAGACAACATTTTCTTTTAGTACACCAACTTCTAGTTCATGGTCTTCTTTCAGATTCAAAGTTACTTCCTGGTCAAGGCTCCTAGACCTAACAGGGCATTCCGAAGTAACGAGCCCAGAGCCTTCATAGTCAGTGATGTCGGCCACAGCTGAAAGAAAGAGAGTAGCTTATGATCCATGCCATTAAGACAGCGAACAGAAAGGAAAGGGTCTCTTTAGACTTGAGAATATTATCTTTTTAACATCTATTTATCTATTTTTTTGTTTTGTTTTTTGAGACAAGGTCTATCTACCTAGCTGGCCTGGAACTCACTATGTAGACCACGCTGGCCTGAATCTCACTCGAGATCCACCTGCTTCTGCTTCCTAGTGCTGGGATTAAAGGTAAGAGGATTTGTTTTTATTTTACAAGTGTTTTGCCTACATGTTATGTAAATGAACCACATAAATTCAAACCTACAGAGGCTAGAAGTTGCCAGATCTCCCCTGGAACTGGAGTTTAGCTGCCATGTGGGTGCTGGGAACTGAACCCTGGTCCTCTGCAAGAGCAGCCAGTGCTCTTAACTAACAAGCCATCTCTCTAACACCAGAGTACATTTTTTTTTTTTGGGGGGGGTGTCTTTTTGAGACAGGGTCTCCTGTAGCCCCAGCTGGCCTGGAACTTGTTATGTAGATCAGGCTGGACTTGAACTCACAGAAACCCACCTACTTCTGCCTCCCAAGTGCTGGGACTAAAAGTGTGTGCCACCACTCCTGGCTGAGACTATCATCTTAATAAACTCAAATGGCTGGGGCTGGAGAGATGGCTCAGTGGTTAAGAACATTGGTTGTTCTTGCACAAGACCCAGGTTTGAATCTCAGCACCCATATGGCAGCTAACAACTGTCCATAACTCCAGATCCAGGGGCTCCGACAGCCTCTTCTGTCCTCTTCAGGCACTGCATGACACGGGAGCACTTACTTACATAAAAGCACATAAAATAAAAATAATAAATTTTAGCTGGGCGTGGCGGCACACGCCTTTAATCCCAGAGCTCGGGAGGCAGGCGGATCTCTGTGAGTTCAAGGCCAGCCTGGTCTACATAGTGAATTCCAGGAGAGCTGGGGCTATGAGACCCTGTCTCAAAAAGACAAAAAAAAAAAAAAAAAAAAAAAAAAAAAAAAGATTTAAAAAATGGAATGGGTATCTTTCTTTTGGTAGAAGAAGTCTAAGGAGGGACAGATATACTCTCTGCCAAGTAAAAAGTAATTTTGTGGCATATTTTATATGAAAGTATACCAACCTTTATTGGAAAAAAAATACTAGAAATCTATGCCTAGTCTTTGACCCTCTAAGTTAATATCTACTCAAGAGAAATAAGATACTCACTGAAGAAATGAAATAAAACCAAGCAAAAATGGCAATCAGTCCATGTTAACCAAAAAGCAATTAGTTAAGTATTATCGCAGACCATCTGTATCTAGATGCTATTATGACAGGATAAAATACTTAGGATTGGCTAATCTGTATTTCTCCCTTGAAAATAGAGGTATATCTCAGCCACGAGAGCTAGTAAGTGCAGACCTGAGTTATGAATCCAAATTGTCTGGTTCAAATCCATGCAATTCTTTAGTTATCTTACTATCCCTTCTTTCCATATATATAGGAAAATATAACAAAATTCAGGAAAAAGGCACCTTAAACTGGCAAAGATAGAGTCTTGAAATGAGTATTCCTGGTTTTTATTTTACATGTTAGCAATTTCTCCCCAGATTATTTTATAATAAGCACATATTACTTTCATATGCTTAACTGGGGGGAAAACACATCTGCTCAAGCTTGCCCTAAACCTTACTCACACTGTGATAGACCAAGGCATGATAGCCAAGGTATGGGCTCTAGATGACATTACAGCAGTATTAGGAAGATGAAATGAACTGATACATTGGAAACTTGGGACTAAACATTCCATGCATCTGCTTTCCCAATTCTGGACCCACAGAGGAGAGTATAGTCTTCAAATACCTAAGGGAAAAAGTAACTACATTACACTTTAAATTAATTTCATATAGTTATTATTTCCCTGAATAAACTGCTATGGATCAGTAATTTTACTTCAAGTACCAAAGGAAATAAGTCCACAAAATTCATTCTGAGCCAGCCAGTCAGCTTGCTCTGGGTATCCCTTATCTCTGCCTCCCAAGACTGAGATTACAGGCAGGCACTATCCCAGCCTGGCTTTTTATGTCATGCTGGGGATATGAACTCAGTTCTCGTGATTTTATGCACTAAGCCATCTCCCAGCCCCCAAGTCATCCTACTTTTTTTTTTTGGTCTTTTTGAGACAGGATTCCTCTGTAGCCCCAGCTGGATTGGAATTTGCCAGTCTGCCTTGAACTTACAGAAATCCACCTGTCTCTGCCTCCTGAGTGCTGGAATTAAAGGCGTGTGCCACCACGCCTGGCTGACAGTCCCACTCTTATAGACACAAAATGTCTTTATTCTAGGAGAGTTGACCAGAGAGGAAGGAAGACCTGAGAAAGAAAACCTAATGATACATACACTCATCGTTGTCTGTTCTAATTGCAGAGGCTCGGGTTTCAATAGGTATTATTCCATCCAAAACTGGTACCTTGGACTTCGAGGTGAGGATTTGCCTTTAGAAACAGAAATGTACACTTTTAATATGGAAGGAAATTCCATCTACTCCAGCCCTGCTGCCTCTCTCCCTACTTTGGTGATGAAAACCAAGGTTCAGAGAAGCCACCATTCAAGTTTACTTTCATTATCATAAAATTTACAAGAAAATTAGAAACCCTACATTTCCCCCCCTACTTTCTATTTATAGTTTACAATAGTACAGCCTTAAAAGTACAAATAAAAAGATTTTTAACTGCCTGTCAGTCTATAAATTACATTTCAGACATTTAAAAATAATCAGTGGCTGCCCAGATGTGGTAGCTTTGATCTCAGCACCGGGGAGGCAGAGGCAGGTGGATCTCTGAGTTCGAGGCAAGCCTGGTCTACACAGGAAGTCCCAGGCTAGCCAAGGGTACATAGTTAAACCCTCTCTCAAAAAAGAAAACATGGGCTGGAGAGATGGCTCAGTGGCTGAGAGCACTGGTTACTCTTGCAGACAATCTGGGTTCAATTCCCAACACCCACCCATAACTCCAGTTCCAGGGGAATCCAACGTCCTCTTCTGACTTCCTTGGGCATTGCATGACACAGGCATACTTACATACATGAAGCAATACACTCATACACATAAAATAAAAATAATAAAAGATTTTTAAAAAACACGAACAAAAACCTAAAAACCAGTGTGGCTACATTTTTCAAGTAAGTCTGTAAAATGTACATTTTCTATAACTCAGTATGTTCAGTTTTAACAGGTTTGTGTTTTATTTTTTGAGTGCTAGGATTAAGGGTATGTGCCACCACACTTGGCCAGCATCAACATTTTAATCCTAATGGTAGTTCCTATTAAGATAAATGACAGAGTGAAAATAAGTTGTAGAGCCAGGCATGGTGGCGCACACCTTTAATCCCAGCACTCGGGAGGCAGAGGAAGGCGGATCTCTGTGAGTTCAAGGCCAGCCTGGTCTACATAGTGAGTTCCAGGACAGCTGGGGCTACAGGGAGACCCTGTCTCAACAAGACCAAGAAACAAAACAAAACAAAACAACTCATCACAACAAGTAATATTTAATAATCATGATATTCCTTTATGATTTTTCCTACTTTCTGATGAAGACCTGAAAGAGATTCCAGTTATTAAGATTTCTATTCTTAGCAGTAAAATATGTGACTGAGTTCAGTACAGGACTAGCATGATCCTAAAGTTGTGTGGGCAGTGTGTGAAGTCACATCCATTAATGGTTTAGAAAGGAATAAATTATCTTTACAGTGCCTTAAATGATCGTATTTTATGCAAGTTAGTTAGCTTTACTGGATTTCTATTGTGGCTATAGAATGAAGTCATCATTGTTTTATACCTGCTCCATTAGTGCCACTCAGTGTTGACATACAAGTTGAAATAAAACAAAGGTGATGGATAACTTCAGTAATCATACTGATTAAGTCAGCTGACTTTCAATAATGGATAGTGATATTGACATGCAACCTAACAACTGACCATAATATAGGAACTAGAACCAACCTGACTGAGGTTTCTTTTTATTGTCTGATATAGTCTCACTATATAGCCCAGGCTGGCCTGGAACTCAACAATCCTTCAGCCTCTCAAGAGCTAGAATTAAAAATGTGCACCACCACACCTCACAAGACCATGCTTCAAATAGCAAGGACAGCCCTACATCTACTACCATGGCTTTGCTAGCGGAAGTGTAATATTTTCAAATGGTCATCAGAAACACACTAGCAACTCTTTTATCACCCAAATAGAAGAGAATAAAGTTGTCTTCAGGGTCGGGGGCACAAAATGGGTAAGACAAGAACTAGGTATGGATCAAACTAAGTCACCTTCCTTATGTTCCACTTTATGCGCAGGCATGCATGTGTGTGTGTATACACACATGTATTTGCAGGTACCTGTGTGTGCACATGTGGAGGCCAACCTCAGGTGTCTATGCTCTCCACCTTATTTTTTGGGACAGGGTTCCTCACTAAACCTGGAGCTGGCTGACTGGCTAGTCTGGTTGGCCAGCAAGCCCTTGGGATCCTCTTATCTCCAAGTTCAGAGGTGGTATTACAGGCATATGTTGACACACCCAACTTTTTACATGGGTGCTAGGGGTCTGCACGCAGGTCCTCATGTTTGCATGGCAAGCACTTCACTCATTAAGCCATCGCTGCAGCTCTAAATAAGCTCTAATATCCACAGAATATTTCACCAAGCGTTCACGATTTCATTAAACTTCTTTTTTAAAAAAGTATCTGAATTTGTTTCCATAAACTTACCTTTCACAAACTGATGACACACAAAGAGAAGCTGAAGCCTCTTGAATGGGGCTTGAGTGACTGAATTCTGAAAAGGCCTCCTTTGAAACTTCCCCAGTGCCTGAAAGTCATACAGATTATCTATGTTAAATGTCTCACAATTATGCATCTTCTTGAACTAACTTTAAAGAAGCTGTTGGCCCTGCTTTTTTTGTTCTTTTAATTCCTTGGCACGAGGCTGTAGCATTTCCTTCTAATTCTTTAGGCCTAGCTCAAGAGCCCCCCTCTTAACTTCCCACATCTCACTTTTGGCTCAATGTATGTATTAATTACACATACACTATGAACTTAATTCTCAATGTTCAAAGAGATGGCTGAAAACTGAAGCATAAAGTTACATTGCTTACCTTAGATCACAAAGCATATTTAGAAGCTAAGATTCAAGTTTAATCTATTTCACTCTACGTTTTACATTATAACACCCCCCAACATTTCTACTTAAGACTGCCTAATACTGCAGACATAATGAAGACACTGCTACAGCCAGTTATCCAATATTTACTATGTAAACACTTATAACACATTGAAACACCAATATGAAATTCTAGACACATTATTTTTAAAATTATTTTAATTTTTAAAAATTTTATGTGTATGAGTGTATTGCCGGCATGTAGGTAGGTGCACCTGTGTCATACAATGCCTGAGGAGGTCAGAAGAGGGTATCGGATCTCCTGGAATTAAAGTTATAGAAGGTTGTTAGCTGCCATGTGGGTACTGGGAATCCAACTCAGGTCCTCTACAAGACAGCCAGTGCTCTTAACTGCTGAGTCATCTCTCCAGCCCCCAAATTCTAGACATATTCTATTAATAAGTCCTAAAGTTCTTAGAACAGTAACTCATATGTTTACTGAAGATACCACAATTCAAACCAGTGAACTCATTGTTAAGAAGCCTAGGCAGAAAACACTCTTTGATAGACTCTACTTATGATACAGATGTCTGGGGGAGCAAGCAGAAAGGGCTCATATATCCCAGGCTAGTCTTAAACATTCACATACTGCAGGTGACCCTGAACTCGATTCTCCTGGCTATACCTCCTGAATGTTGGGATTACAGTTCTATCATGCTGGACTCAGTGCTGGAGATTGAAACCCAGGGCTTTCTGCTTGCTAGACTTTATGCTCTACCAACTGAGCTACACCTGGCCCAATGTCACGGATTTTTATTAAGTATTTGGTTTTATGGATCTAAGGAGTTCCTTTCATAAATTTGCTCCAAGTGGGTTTTTTTTGTATAATGTAAAACAGGCATAGTTTTCGGATTCACCAATTCTAAGCCAAGTCTCCCTTCCTTTCCCTTGGCCCTCATAACCCAGAACAGTATGAAACAAGTTGCATTTTAAGAACTTGTGTTATAGTCCACTATGCTCTACATGAAGTAGGCAGGTACTCTGTCTGGTGCACTCACTGATATTCAACAGCCAGCATACGCATGGGAGGACAGGGAGACAGGGCATGGAGGGAGTCCTCTACTAGAGCAGACTTTAGGGACTCAAAAAAATTCCGGTTTCTGAGCAGAACTCTATTCAACAGGCTATAAGACAAGTTGAAAATCACAGTACTCACAAAGACTTTAAAGTGAGCACTATTATTCCTCAGTTATTGGAAAACCTTCTAGAGAAACAGCCTGTCACATTTCATTCCTTAAGCTTCTGTTCTTTTTAAAATGCCATGATAAAGGGCTGGAGAGATGGCTCAGAGGTTAAGAACACTGACTGCTCCTGCAGAGGACTTGGTTTCAAGTCCCAGCACCCACACGGTGGCTAACAACCACCCATAACTCCAGTTCAGGGGAAATCCAACACCTTCTGACTTCCGCTGGCATTGCACAACACGGGTGCACTTACATACATGCAGGCGACTAAAAATAAATAAAATAGTTTTAAATGCCATGATAAAGATAGCATATAAATGTCCTCCTGCCTTCAAATGTGACTTACTTATAAAGAATACAAGCCATGCTCATAAACTGAAAGAATAAAATTTGTATATTTTATCTAAGACACAGTACACTATGAGCATATAATTATTTAACCTTGACATTTTTCTTATGGTGGAAAATATTCTATTAAAATTTTAACTAAGGATCTGGAGAGAGAGCTCAGCGGTTAAGAACACTGGTTGCTTGCAGAAGACCCGGGTTTGAATCCCAGCACCCACATGGTAATTAACAACTGTCCTTACTCCAGTCCCAGGGGATCCGACAGCCTCTTCTGTCCTCTGAGGGCACTGCACAACACAGGTGCACCTACCTACATGCAGACCATAGACTCCCACACATAAAATAAAAATATTTTTTTAAAAAAGTTTAACTGTGGATAGCAATAGTCAATTGAGTCTGTAGAAGTCCCTACCCATTCGTTTCTCCATAGATGACGTTCCTTTTGACTTAAACACATCTTTTTCATCATTCCTCTCAGCTTTTTCAGTAGTTAACTCAGTGGAAGCACTTGGTGGCTTGGGGGACACAAAAACACCATCTTCAAAATCTTCTGGTGATGGTGCATCATGATACTCTAAGGTAGTCTGGTCTGATCTGGTGGAAGTAGTACTATCTTCTTTGTTGACATCTAGTTTCTCTGGACTTTGTGATAGGGTACCCAATGACCCCGCATCCATACCTTGATGGTATTTTTCAGGGTTATCCAGGGGAAAATATGCCTTTTTGTCATTACTCTTTACCCATTCAGTTTCTGCTGGAAGTCCACATTTATGTAAAGATGAACTAACAAATACTTTAGTGTTGCTGCCATCTGTGGCCTGTCAAGATTATGAAAAGGAAAGCATCAGCACTTTAGTCCTAAGCCATCTCTCCCAATCATATCCACCTACACTGTCCACACTGTAATTTTTCAAACTCTCTGCTAATTACAATTCATTTGTTCCAAATCAATTCTCTTTAGATATATAACTAAAAGGCGATGGTGGTTAATGTTTCCCAAAGTGGCACTGTTTAAAACAAAATACAATGAACAGGCCAGATGACCAGTAGTTACTAACTGTGGATTTCTATTAACTACAGGGGAACCCTAGACACATTTTCCTAAACATAAAACCAATTAGGGCCGGGCGTGGTAGCACATGCCATTAATCCTAACACTTGAGAGGCAGAAGCAGGCGGATCTCAAGGCCATCCTGGTCTCCATAGCGAATCCAGGCCAGCTGGGGCTACAGGGAGACCCTGTCTCAAAAAGACCAAAAGAAGAAAAAAAAAAAAAAAAAAAAAAAAAAAAGAAAGGGAAAAAAAAAGGAAAAAAAATACGGCTGAAAGAGAAGAACAGTAGGAAACAGGCCTTATTATTTTGATATATCACAGTGAAAGATTTATCGTCCTCTTTTTTTTTTTTTTTTTTTTTTAAAAAAAAAAAAAAAAAAAAAAAAAAAAAAAAAAAAAAAAAAAAAAACCAGTTAGGTACAAGAGAAGCAACAAAATACTGGGTAAAAACTGTACCACTAGGAGTTGTGTACCCTCGTGTCATTTCTGTTGAATAGCTACCTTCTCCATCGTTTTACCTTCCTGTAAAATGATGGTTTGGGCTTAGAGCTCATGTTCTAAGTTTCTCTCAGAACTATTTCCTAATTTTAAGACTATTTACAAAATTCCATACAAAAATCTAAGTGATGCTAATTAATAACAGAAGTTCAATAAATAAGTAAAAAGCTCTCAGGAGCCAATGTATTCTTTAAATTTTTCACCCTGTTATCGAACTTACTCCAGCAGTCCAGTTTGTATTCATGCCTTCTTCCATGAATGAAATTCTAGTTTCTTTAAGTCTGAAAGGTGGAGTGAGAGATCTTCCAGGTGACAGAGAAGGAGATGCTAGAGGTGTTGCTCGAAGACCAGACCTAAGGATGGACGGAGGAGTAAACTCGGCAAACCCAGAAGAAGTAGCTGACATAGCCAAGGATTTAGCTTTCTATGATAAAGAGCAAGCAGAACTACATTAGCAATGTTTGTAAACAGGATTTATGTAAGCGCAGACAGTAACTTAAGATTTTTATCTTCAAATAAATAAGTAAAATTTTAACTTCAGATTGGTAGGAAAATATTACATTCTACTAGAATTTTCTATGTTAAGTTTACAAGACAAAAATTATTATAATCTTTCTAAACTTTTCCCCCCTTTAAATTCAACTACAAAAAATAAAATGTCAAATGGTATAGTAAATTATTTAAGTAATATTTCTAAAATAAGTGAAGGTAGGTGAAAGCCAGGATACAATCCTAAATTTATAAATTATAGGAAGCTAATCTAAATGAATAAGAATGACTTCAGAGTTATAAAAAGTTTTACCAGGAATCTAGTAAGAACTAACTTACTAGGATCCTCTAAAAATTTAATATAAACAAAATAGTTTAAAATTAGCAATCAAAATTATTGAATAGATCATTCTCTTGCTAAACTTGTATACTAAAGGCCTAGTAAACAGCTTATTTAGCTCCATCAGATTAATGAATTCCTTTAGACACATTACCTGCGTATAATGATTTCTTTAAAAAAATAAACTATTTTTACTACAAGGCACAAAATAATTCCCTGACTTAAATTTCACCTGACCTTAGCCATAGAGAATATAAAATGTGATTTGGGCCAGGTGTGGTGGCACACGCCTTTAATCCTAGCACTCAAGAGGCAAAAGCAGGTGGATCTCTGTGAGTTCAAGCCCAGCCTGGTCTACATAAGTGAGTTCCAGGCCAGCTAGGGCTACAGAGAGACCCTGTCTCAAAAAGACCAAAAAAAAAGTGATTTGGGGGGAGGAGGTAATCATAAACATTAGAAATACTGTTCTGGATATTAAAAAAAAAAAAGAACCTAATACTCAACCTTGTAATAACTAAGTAATAAGCCTTCAGTGAGGTACCTCTCAACTTGAAAAATAAGAATCTCCCAGTTTCACAATGAATGTTGGGTGCTCCCCCACAACCAATCAATAACAAAGAAAAGGAAGAAAAAGTAAGCGTCTGGGATTTAGTCCACACTACTGGACAAGAAAACTTAAGAGAAGCTTGGCCTAACAGTGGCACACACTGAAAATCTAGCATTTAGGAGGCTAAAGCAAGAGGATCACAAGTTCCAGGCCATCCAGAGATATACACTGAATCCCAGGTCAGCCTGGGTTACACAGTGAGAACTAGTCTCAAAACCCCCAAAATGCAAAAACAAAATAACACCAATAGATCATTATACAATCACTTTGTGAATGTGTCCATTATTACTAGTCATAACAAATTTGGTTTTATTTTCATCAGGAAGTATAAAAGAAAGCCATTAAAGATCACCTGATAATATATGTTTCATCAAAGTGGCCAGAAAAGTGAAATGTATAAAAGTAAACCTACTAAATATTTGGCAGAAATAAAATCAATAAAGGTTATATAAAAATGTAATCACCTAATAAATCTGAAAGCATTTTGTAAAGACCAATTTATCATACTCATACAGACTTATATTCAAGACAATTATTAACATAAAAAGAAATGTTAAATTTAATCAATTGTTTTAAGAATTTAAAAATATAATCCTAAAAACTAAAATTAAAGTATCTTACTACCCAGAGTTATGCTATAAATAGCTTAATTTCTCTATGCTACTTGATAACCACTATCCTCTGAGAATGCTACACAGGTAATACTAACCTTAACTACAAGAGGAGTTTCTAGTAAAAGTAATTCTGAAGGCTTGGAGGTGTTCTGATGTGGCCTTTTGAATTGTGAACTTAATGGCAATGAGCTGGAGAGCAGATACAAAGGAGATCTTGTGGGGCTTTGCTGAATAAACTGCAAATGCTGCGAAGGCTGGGGAGTAGGATGAACAACCAAGTCCAGCAATCTGGAATTAAATATAAATAGAAAAATCCTGACAACTTCTTTATTGAGTTCAAAACAACTGAGTAACTTATTACTCAGATTTGCATATTCACTATTAAATATCATAACCACATAAATGAAGTAAAACTGCCAGCACTAGTTTAAAGTCAGTTGTCTGAAAGGCAAAAAAAAAAAAATCAACTGTAGGTAACAATTTTATTTCTTTTGGTCTTTTTGAGACAGGGTCTCCCTGTAGAACTAGATGGGCTTGAGCCTGCTATATAGACCAGGCTGGCCTTGAACTTGGAGATCTGTCTGCCTCTGCCTCCCAACTGGGACTAAAGGTGTGCACTACCATACCCAGCTATTCAACTGTAGGCAACAATTTAAAAACCACGAATTCTAGTTGTCCACCCTCCCTTTAGATGTAATTTAAACTCAAAAACAAATTCTTCAAATCACAATTTCTGGAGGACCACTTGCACATGGCATTCTTTTTACTATTTCTTAATGAACGGAGTGTATGCGTCTTGAATCCCCAATCCTGCTGCTCTCTTTCAAGTACAGGGATTACAGGCATTTGCCATCACACCCAGCTTATGGTTATTATTATTATTATTATTACTTTTTGACAGAATCTCCCTAGTCCCAGTCCACTTGGAGGTCACTATGTGGACCAGGCTGGCCTGGATCTCACAGAGAAATATTTGCCTACCTCTGCCTCCCAGGGCTGGGAGGTTCCATTTTTTAGTGACAGGAAACAGTATCATTTTATTTTCCCCCAAATGCAAGTGTAACCTAAATTGAAAATGACCATCAAAGTACAGGATGTTTTGCTGTCAGAAGTAAGAACCCTTGGTTGATGTGTCTTCCTTGGAGTCTAGCCTTAGGTTCAAATTTTCACTGTCAAGAATGTCAGGCCAAACAAACTATTACCCAGTGGAGAAATACTTGCAGGAAATCTTTTCTTAGTACAATGTCTTCATACTTGTTATTTTGTAGCAAGCATAGCTTTGGGATATCCTCTCTAACCGAGATCTTAAAATTAAGGTTTCTCTATTTTCTCTTACAACCCATTCCCACCTAATTTATATTCAAATTCTATAGGTATAAGCAATTTGCTTATTTTTGTATAGAGCTCATATATACTATTAAGTACTCTTCTGTTATTACTTATACTTAAGATGACTATTTATAGGGACCAGTAAGACAGCAACCTGAGCTGGATGGCCAAGACCCACATGGCAGAAGGAGACAATAGACTTCCTCTGGCTCTTCTTTGACCTCCACATGTACACACGTACACACACACACACACACACACAAATAAATGTATTGACAATTTTGAATGATGACTATGAACATTTCCTGAAACGCCTGTGTGACCAAATTATTTCACAAGATTACTATATATATGTTTAAAAAATTGTTATTTTTATTTTATGTGTGTTGAGTGTACAGTCTGCATTGTATGTAAGTGCACCTATGTTGTGCAATGTCTGAGGAGATCAGAGGAGGGTGTCAGGTCCCCTGGAACTGGTGTTATGGATGGTTGTCAGCTGTCATATGTGCTCAGGAAATCGAACTCAGGTCCTCTACAAGAACAATCTTAACTTCTGAGCTATCTTTCCAGCCCCAAATTATACTTTAAGACTAGGTGTGGTAGCACTTGCCTTTAATCTCAGCACCCAGGAGGCGGCAGGTAGATCTCTGTGAGATCAAGGCCAACTTTGTCTACACAGTGAGTTCCAAGATACTTGGGGCTACGGGAAGATCCTTTCTCAAAAAAGACCAAAAATCAAGTAAGCAAAAAAATTTTTTAAACTTAAAAAAAAATTTTATTTATTATTTTTATTTAAAGTGTATGCGTGTATTGCCTGCATGTAGGTAAGTGCACCCGTGCTTTGCAATGCCCGCAGAGGTCAGAAGAGGCTGTTGGGTCCCCTGGAACTGGAGTTACAGACAGTTGTTAGCTGTCATGTGGGTGCTGGGATTCAAACATGGGTCTTCTTCAAGAACAACCAGTGTTCTTAACCACTGAGCCCTCTCTCCAGCCCCATAAGTAAAAAAATTTTTAAAAAGTGCCAGGAAAACATATTTCTGATTAAAAAATGCTAAATGTGCTAAGTCTTGAGATTGCTTAACTTTTGTGGTGCAATCCAAGGAAGAATGCCTTTTCTGGCATATACACAAACAAAATATAAGCAACAGGAAACAGCAATGTAACCCTTACTGAATGCAGTATCAATGTTGATTGATAGTATCTAGCCTACTCTACTTCTTTGAAAGGCAAACCCATTTTGTATTTATTTGATATCCAATAATGTAAATCAGGATGAAAAATCTAGAATTAGGGAATGGAATGATTTTTCTAAGACAAAAATCAGCGCTTAATTGGGTCTCTGCCATCTGACTTTACATCAGCTTTTAAGGCTTTTTAAAAAATTTTTGATACCTGAAACCTTTACTCAAGGGTCTTCAAAAAGGACTTGTTACTTGTTAGTAGGATGAAAACTATCCCACTAAAAGTAAAAAGTGACGAAGAAAAAGTAACTTGTGAGAAGCAATCAGAACTACTGTCTGCAATGACTACCATTTAAAATAGCTTCCAACCACCTCATGAGGGTAAATGCAATCATCTCACTGCATTTAAGCTAAGCTTTCAAAATGTGTCCAATTATTTAAGTTCCACAAGGATCTCTGGCCTCACCTGCTTACTATAAACTTATGCCAAGTGACTTATTTTTCTAGTAAAACAATTTTATTTGAATAAGATAGTGAGTGTAGCTGGGTGTGGTGGCAGCACTCGGGAGGCAGAGGCAGGCGGATCTCTGTGAGTTCAAGGCCAGCCTGGTCTACACAGTGAGTTCAGGACAGCTGGGGCTACAAGAAGACTGTGTCTCAAAAAGACCGAAAAAAAAAAAAAAGATAATGTAATTTTGACCCTGACAAAGCTTAGTCAACAATTCACAACACTTATGGGCGTCATTATTCAGGACAGAGACTTCAATGTTCTCTGTTAGTCATCATTATGAATACTTTTCAACTATCTAACCTGAAAAATAAATTTAATCAGAGTTTCATTTGAACATAAAGCTATTAAGAGCTTCTATTTTTCTAATACCATAGGCAAGATCAAAAAGATTATTGCACCTAAGCAACACAGGACATTTTAGTTAAGCCCAAGAAAGCTTCACAGTGTGAACCCAGATTAAGTAGTACAGAAATGACATTCTATACAATTTCCTAAAATGACTATAATCTTGCACAAATTATAATAAAAAATTAAAATTTTTACTTAAGAACTTAAAATAGCACGTAATTTTTTCATCATCTCCCTATACTAAACATCTGTTAAAAATTTAAAGACAATTACAGTTTTAATTATTTTCTAACACTTAAGTCTTACCTAGAAATTTTCTGTGATGTTTTTGAAATTGGTGTTCCAACAAATGCCTCAGGAAGCTCTGGATGTGGGAGAGAATATACTACAGGAGATGGGTGCTCTGCTTTAGGACTATAAAGAAAATAAAACTTAATTTTAAATTGTTTCATATAGATCACCATAAAAACCTATAAATTGAGATCAGATAGAACTGGGAAGGGCTTCTATTTTTTACTTTGCTATATATCTGCACTGTTTACAGACCACTTTCAAATTTAATGATAAAATGGGGTTAGTGAGATGGCTTAGCCAGTAAAGACACTTTTAAGCCCAAGGACCTGAGTTTGATCCTGAGAACCCACATGGTTGAAAGAGTGATTTGACCTCTGACCTGTGCGGGTCTGCATCTCTCCCTGTGCACACACACAAAAATAAATTAAACGCAAAGTTAATGGTGATAAAGTTGATAGCCAATGATGGTGGACTGCTGATGTTGTTGATGTTCAGGGACTAATACATTTTAAAATATCTCTTAAAGTCATGCTACAACAAAAAATCAGGGCAGTGAGATGGCTCAGTGGGAAAAGGCACTGGCCACTAAGCCGTTTAAAAACATGAGTTTGATCCCTGGAATCCACGCATGTGCAGTGAAATGCCTGCCTTCCCTTCAAACACAAATTGAAAAATTTTAAAGGTACTGAACATACATTACCTATTATAAAGAGAGATGCAGTTTCTAGGTTCACTGCTTGCCCACACCTCTCCAATTTTAGATAACACATTATTGATGAAAGTTGATCTTGTTACCACTGTACCAGTTACTGCTTTCTTTGGATATGCTGATAATGGTTTGGGTCTAGAAACTGTAAAATAAAGAATGCAAGATTTAACTGCATCTCTAACAAACAGGGTTTTAATAAAACGTGATTGGACAAGAAGGTAATTATTCAGTATCTTTTCTAGCCCAATTCTTGGACATTCTTGAATAGAACCATACCTTCTCGAAAAACTGATGATGTTGACAGATGGTAAGGCTTAGCTCGCTCAATGGCTAATTTTCGCTGGACTCTAGGAAGGATTTTCCCATACTGGTCCAATATAGAATTCCGAGCCACTGATCTCTCTCGCAAATGAGGATCACGATCATTCTAATGAATGAATGAGTCTCAAGGATTAGACTTAAAACACCACAATCAACAAAAATGCATGTTCAAGAATATTTTTCTCCATATTTTTCCAAATCAGACTTCATATACTTACTTATGTACCCACTGATACATTCCAAGCATCTACAACAAAGTACTGATCCTTCGCAACTAATAAAACCAAGGTAACACGCAGTATGCTCCCCAACGTGTACCTCTGTGCACCCTCACAAGTTTCCAAAGACATTATCACTTTAGAGATCAGGAAACCAAGATTCAGAGGGTGATCAGTACAGAGCAGACTTAGAATCACTCTAATCCTTGAGGTCCGATACCTTTTGTACTATAAAACTCCTATTCTCTACTACATCCTCTCATTTGCCCTGAGTGATCACCCTGGCAAGACTGTGACTATGTACCACAACATAATGGCATATATACAAGAATTATGTAAGCAATAATACCCAGTTCCCAGTAATACCATACCGATGCAGCAGCATCTCCAAGTTTAAGAAAATGTAAAGCAAAGAGATTCCCAAACTGCAAGCTCTTACATAACAAAGAAGGTTTAAGTTTTCCTTATTCTCTTGACCCACACAAAGAAACAACTTTAATCATACCGTAAGATTAATCTTCAGAGTCTGGTTCAACTTTAAGGCAGAAATATAATTGGCACGCTGTAAATGGTGAACTAGAAGGAATTCATGATTCTGAATATTGGTACTGGACTGCAAAAATTTCACTAAACATTCCTAGGAAGAACAAAACAGATTTGTAAACTATCAATTCACCTTGAATTTCTGGTAAGTTCACACTTGAAAGTGATTACCTGCTCAGTGTCAGTAAATGGTAACTTTAGTAAATCCTCCATTAAGCCCACTTCCTGACAGACTTCATAAGTGTGCTTTAATAATTCTTCTATATTCAATCTGTTAGAATTTTGTCGCAGTAAATTCCAGGCCTCAACCATGCATCTGAAAACAGTATCAAAGTTTAGTTTAGAAAAGCTATATAAAATGTGGAAAAGCACCTATCTGTAATATCTCAAATATAATTCGCATGTGCAGCTTGAAAAATTTATTGGACACTGATGCATGAGTCTTGCTAATGTCAAAAATACAACTGTGGGGAGGGACTGGAGAGATGGCTCAGCAGTTAAGAGCACTGGCTACTCTTGTAGTGGACTGGGGGTCTGGTTCCCAGCACCCACAGATGCACCTCAATACACGTAGGGAAAACACTCATACAGATAAAGGTTTATGTGGGATGACAGAGAAAAGTCAGGTTTTTAAAGTAATGACACTCAGCAAGAACACAATGGAACAGAAAATTTGTCAAGACCTGCAGGTAGAAAAACATTGTTTCTGGAAGGATGTGAAGAACATAGCTTAGTAGTAGGTGACTTTGACTGATTTGTACGAAGACCTAACTGGAAATTTTTATCAAATTCAATAGTAGCAAACATCAAGTAGAGAATCTAAACTGTCCTTCTGTGGGCAATAATATGAGTCTTTCAACATCAATCTGTAATTCTGCACACTTCTGATCCCATTGAGACCTGTCTTTGTGGTTTACGTCTGTATTATTATGAAAATTGAAATTACCTATAGGCCAGCAGGCAACAATCTCCCTCTAAGGAACATAATCTACATAAATATTGGGTACGGCTCAGTTGGTAGAGTACTTGAGTAGTATATACAAAGTCCTGAGTTTGATCCCCAGTACCATATAAGCCAGACACGGTGGCACTCAAGAGGCAGAGGCACAAAACCATCAGTTTCAAAGAAGTCTGGGCTATGTGGTCAGTTCCAAGACAGCCTGGACTACATGAGATCCTGTCTCAAAAAAACCTCGAAAAAAGACAAAAGACTGGAAGAGGTATATAAGGTATAAATAACAGAAGGTTGGTATAGCTATAATAACTACTCATGATAGGGTTATTTTATCATGAGGCTGGGCAGGGAATGTATTTCAGAGACAGAATACCTGCCTACCAAATATTAGGTCCTGGATTTGATCCCCAATACTGTGAAAAAAAAAAATCACAGTAATATTTTAAAGTTATTACAATTTTAAATTCTTGGGGTTGGGGAAATGGCTCAGACAGAGGACTTGGGTTTGATTCCCAACACCTGCATGGCAGCTAACAATCATTCAGAACTCCAGTTCCAGGGGCTCTTGATGTCCTCTTCTGGCCTCTTTGGGTCTTGCATGACATGGGTGCACTCATACACATGCAGGCAAAACACTCATAAAGTAAACATTTAAAAAAATTTAAACATATCTAATCTTTAAAACCTAACTTGATAGCATTGAGAAGAACTGGCACATTCAGCTTCAGGAGAGGCAAGACAGCATAATTTTCTTAGTAATTTATTTTTTTTTAAGACTTATCAAATGGAGTTCAAAAACAGAGCAGAATAAATACATGGGACTGTGGAAAGAATAAAAGTATGGACACAATGGGTACTATCTATACACAGGGTGTTTCATTTCTACTGTACCTGTATAAAACTAAACAAGCAATGCTGACAGCCGGCTATCTAAAGCTTTTATTTACTTATGTATATCATTATATGGTGGGTGCAACATGGTTGATTTGCAAGCCTAACAGCCATGCCACAAGTATGTATAATGGTACATCCATAAATATAGCTCATAAAAATGAGAAAGGATAAGCACACATTAAAGGAAAGGAGAAAGAGGAGCTCAATAAGAAAAGTGGTAGAGGTTGAAGTCACAAGTCAGGCTGCAAGGTTTACTGAATAATGACAATGATGCCTAACCAACCACTGCTACCATGTGCTAATGACTCACAACTCTGCCAACAGCTGTAATAATACTTCTGCATTTAACCCTCAAAATATTGCAAGGTGGGCAATAACTTCATGAAACATCCTCAGAGAGGATGAATAGCCGTGTCTAAAAAGTGGTATAGCTTAATTTGCCAAATTCTTGGATGACAGACGTGCAACAGGAAACGGTACTGTTTAGGGTTAAATTAAAATCTATTTAAGTCCAAAGACTCAAACTGACTTTTTTACATCTTTGCCACAGTAACTGCCTGTTGCAATAATACTTTAAAAAAAAATTTTTTTTTAAATTTTATGTTGTGCAATGCCACGGAGGTCAGAAGAGGGCTTTGGATTCCCCTGGAACTGGAGTTAAGGACGGTTAGCAGCCACCATGTGGATGCTGGGAATTGAACCCGGGTCCTCTGCAAAAGCAGTCAGTGCTCTTAACCGCTGAGCCATCTCTCCAGCCCCTAAAAATTTTATTATTATGTGAGTATATGTATTTGCATGGTATGTGTGAAGAATGGGGGTATGGAGGTTAGACAACATTTGTGAAATCAGTTTTTCTCCTTTTACCTTTACATGAGTTCCAGGGATCACTCAGGTCATCAGGCTTGTGACAACCACTTTTACCATCTCTCCAGCCCCAATAACATATTAATTTTAAGGGTTTGGCAAAACTAATCAACAGTATCATTAGGAGAAATAGTTTAAGGAACACAGGAACATTTCATTTATATAGCACAGTCACAGAGAAGGGGTGAGTGTTCTCAAGTTTGAAATGCTGAACCATTTTTAGCTTTCAAAATCTAATCACAATGCCTGAGTGATGGGAGGACTACTGTGTGGCCTAAATTCTTACTTTTAAGTTCAGATGCCCCAAATGAAACCCTTATGGTTGGAGGACATAGTGATTAAACACTGTTGGATTAGATGCAGGTATAACATTTAAGGTATTAAACTTTATTTTACTGAATAAGTCATTATTATAAATCAATTTGCTTTGTTTCTAGTTATTTCTTTCTGACAAAAATAGAGTATAGATCATGCTATGTAATGGTTTCTTGCAAAACAAGGCTGCTGCTTCCAATTTTCAGTTACTAAAACTAAAGCTCCTTTTTCCCAAAGTATTTTTCTTACTTTCAATAAAAATCATTCACCTTCAATGTCTTAATGTTCTCAACTCTTTTTGCAACATTCATGTCAGTCTTTACTGTCACTTACGAGACCAACTGGTGGTAGTGATGGTGGTGAGGGGGGCAAGGAGGCTTGTTGGGGATTGAATCCAGGAGGATCCTGTCTATAGCAATAAAGACAACACCAAATGTTGACTTCTGTTCCACATGCACAGGCATGTGGCATGGACACACACACACATATACCATACACATGCTTACATAGAAATAGTTTAAAAAAAAAATCACTCTAGAAAAAGATACAAATTGGTCAAAGTCTGTTGAAGTAGAAACCTGGTCTTTTCTTAAGTCCATACTTAGCCCTCAACTCTCCACAGCTGTCCATTCAAGACTACCCAAGTTGTCAATGAGCAACAACATATACTGTTCATCTCAACTGAGCAGCTTACTTTTATTCAAAGTCCTTGTCATTTATCTTGACAAAAGGCACTATATGTTTAACTTTGAAAGATCGAAGAAGGTAAGAAAAGGCAATACGACCAATATACAATTATAGGCTTTTATGATTTTTGTTTCCTTCAGACAGGGTCTCATTATCCAGGGCTGGTCTGGAACCTATAATCCTCCTACCTTCACCTCCCAAAGACTGGGATCACAGGCATATGCAACCTAACTGGCTAGTTTTTAGAAATCTAGTCCATCAATTTATTGTATTAGCATATATGAGCAAAAATTTCTACTCTTTAAGATGTACTTACTTATTAAAAAGCAGAACTGTGAGGTGAAGGTTGACATCACTGCTACTAGACACTGCTGGCTTCATTGTCTGAATGTACCTGAGAGCGTGTCTGTGCTCTCCTTGACTCATAAAGGCTTGAATGATCTTTGAATGCTGCCACAATGCAGGTTTTGCAGTAACTGGGTGAAACAGAAGGTCTAACCCATTCTGTAAAAAAGAAAAAAGTGCTAAATGTAAATGTAAATACAATCCTTTTAGACAAAGTAGTAAGCCCTTAAAACAGGCAAACAATATTAAAAACTAATCTTGGGGCTTTGTATATAAAAATCTTTGCACCACCAATTTCATACCTTAATGCCCAATTTTGTCTTCTATGAGTCACATGAAACCGTAACATATCTCTAACACAATTAATGCCTGCACTATTCACAATTATCCATCTGCTTGTTTCCTTCTTTAGATAGCAAGTAACACGGGGTTATGAACTTAGATTCTTGCTGCTTTTAGACACACTGGTTAAACTGAGTCTTATATTACCTCTAGAAATAGAATGCATCACCTTTAATATCAAATTAAATCTACTTATATCTGTCCAGTTCTAATAACATACAAAGGCTTATATTCTAAGTGAATTACTTACCTCATAGTCATTATGGTCAATTAGCCAAAATCCTTGAACAAGTTTAACTTGGCCCCAAGAAATGGCAAAGGCAGTTGGAAAAGATTCAATGGGAGTATCCATTTTGTTTGGAAAGGAATACATAATATCAAGTAGTAAATAAATAGTCTTTTAAAAAGAGGATTAAGGACAATAAGCAATAAAAGAAAAACCTGCACATACATAGGTGAACAGAAGAGCATCACAATAAAAGAGGCTCAAGGAGCTGAAGAGATGGCTCAGTGGTTAAAAGCACTGGCTGATCTTACAGAGGACCTGGGTTCAGTTTCCAGTACCACACATGGTGGCTCACAACTGTATGTAACTCAATTTCCAGGAATCGGACACCCTCTTCTGAACGCTCCAGGCACTGCACATACAGGTATACTTATGTATAAGCAAAGCACTCATACATGTAAAAAAAAAAAAAAAAATTTAAGGCTTATTAAACTTACATTTGAAAGTCATTGTGGATATCCATCTAGGGTAATAGTTTTTTAAACATGGGTAAAGTCATCCCATGACTTAGCATTTACCCTCAGTAAATTTACTGCTATAGTCATACAAGTATTGAACTAAAGCATAATTTGTTCATTAAAACAAACAAGAAATTCAAGTAACTTGTTTAGTAATTTAAAAAACAAAGCTATAGGAGCTAGAGCGATAGCTCAGCGGTTAAGAACACTGGTTGTTCTTGTAGAAGACTGGGGTTCAAATCCCAGCAACCACATGGCAGCTAACAACTGTCCGTAACTCCAGTCCCAGGGGATCCAACAGTCTCTTCTGACCTGCGCAGGCATTCCACAACACAGGTGCACTTACTTACATGCAAGCAATACATGCATACACATAAAAAGTAAAAATAATAAATAAAATTAAAGAAAGAAAAACAAAAAACAAAGCTATAGATCAGACTCTAGTTACTGGGCTGGCAGCTTAAGCAAACACATCTCATAATCACATTATCTTATAAATTATGAACTATACATTAAACTAAAAAAGACATTAGGACGAAGATCTTACCACAAATCATGCCTAAGACCATATTATGCTGACGTGGTATATGTATGTGTGTGTACACATGTGTTAGCTTGCCTATCCCATGCTTATGCTTGTGGAGGCCAGAAGTCAGACCAGTACTGGGCATCTTCCTCTATTGCTTTCCACCTTATTTATTTGAGACAGAATCTCTCACTGAACTTGGAGCTTATTAACTTGGCCAGACTGTAATTAAGCCCCTATCATCCATCTATCTCTGCCTCCTTAGCACTGAGATTATAGGCACATGCCATAGCACATGGCTTTTATGTGGGTGCTGGAGACTGGAACTCAGATCCTCATGCTTGTGTAATAAGCACTTTAAGCCAGGAGCAGTGGCTTATGCCTTTAATCCCAGCAAAGGGGAGGCAGAGGCAGGTGGATCTCTGTGAGACTGAGGCCAACCTGGTCTTCACAGTGAGTCCAGACCAGTTGGGGCTATAGAGAGACCCTGGCTCAAAAAGAAGAAAAGAAAACCAAGCATTTTTCTCATTGAGCCACATCCCTAGTGCCTCAAGCAAACTTTTAACATACTCACTTTCAACAATGAAGTCAACTCCACTGAGAATGGGAATGTGCCACAAACAATTATTTTTGAGTGTCTTTTTACCCCCTCCCTCCTCCCAGATCAAAGCTAGGGTTTTGCACACTCTGGTAAGTTCTCTGCCCCTTATCTAGAGTTGCCCCCGACCCAAGTCTCAGAGCAGCTGTTCTTAGACACATCAAAAATTTAACAAAAGCCAAGGACTGTATCTCTAGGAAAAGTAGCATAAACAGTAATTTATACATAGTTTTAAGTTTATCACCTGACCTGACAAATCAATCCTGAGTTAAGAACACATATTTAGATAGGGTAGGGTGCAGCTAGAGACAGGATTAGATATGAGATTCCCACTACCTTGAATTGTTATGATTCCAGTAATATATGAATATTGGTTAAAAGGATACAATAGAATGTTTGCTTGCTTCAGTAATGTTGTCTAATAAATATATGTCAAGTAGTGCCTATAAAAAAAAGAAAAAAATTCAGTGTACTTTTATAGTCCCCTCACTTCTATTTTTTCTGGCCTGTATGTCTGGTCCCCTCCCTTAAAGACTCTTTGACAGCATGTTACCGTAAACCTACATGTATACTAGCAGGAGGATATTTTCCGGTGCCTCCTTCATCTCGTTTCCACAACTTCTCAACTTTATCTCCTAGCTCAGAAACTAATCCGTCAATCATCAAACAATCATGGCTCCACTTCCCTCTGAAATATGGGAAACATGAAGATTATTTACTATCAAAAGTAATTACTGATAACAAACAAAATGCATCAAATTTTTCTTTTTGTCTATTTTTGAGATAGGGTATCCCTGTAGCTCCAGATAGCCTGGAACTCACTATGTGGATCATGTTGGCCTTGAACTCAGAGATCTGCCTGCCTCTGCCTCTGCTGGGATTAAAGGCATGAGCCCCCATGTCCAGCAAAAGCATCAAACTCTTAAAGGCAGTTGGTCCAACTATCAAAAGAACACAAGTAAGAACTGGGCCTCATCTTAAGAATCATAGAAATAAGTTAGTATTCGTCAGATACATCCTTGAGTAGCCTGAAGTTCGGTCAGCACTAAGCCAGCTGGTGAAGGTCAAATACTAGGAATGAATGGGGTCTAACCAGAGAAATGGCTAAGACAATTCTAATTATTGGCCTGTGTAATAAAAGGGTTTCAGCTCAAAGAGTTGTACTTTCCATTTCATCACTAGAGCTGTCTTTTATCCTGTTTGTTCATTCAGAATCAGGAATGGTGGCCCACACCTATAATCCTAGCACTTTCGAGGTTGAGATAAGAGGACCTTGAGTTCAAGGTCATGCTCAGCTGCACAATGAGTTCTAGGCTAGGCCAAGTCATGTGAAACTCTGTACACAAACAGAACAAAATAGAGATACCAAACCCAAAAAACTCCCATCAATTTCCCAAGTTCCTGCTTATTATCTTAAAGTAGCTGTGCTAAAGCAATTGGTTCCCAAAATTTATCCTGTATCAGAATTACAGACAGCACAGCCTTAATGGTATTGATTCACAAGCAATTCTGGCCCAAGAAACCTGGAATCCATGTTTGTAAGCCACTGCTTGGAATGTTATCTGGTCCCTATAGCTCTCTCATTCCAATCTGAGGGTGAAGGCTATTTCATTTCAGAGATAGGAATAAGGTTCTAAATATATTTCTTCTATCATAACTTATTTATTTGAAAGAAACAAACTAGGCTATTCATGTTTTTACTTTTAAGACAAAACTAGAAAAAATAACAATGGAAAAAAATCTTGTTTTCAAAGTTAACTTGAAAAATAATTCATGATACACTGATGCTTTTTTGATGGAATAGAAGATTCTAGTTTTTGTTTTTTTCTAAATAAGAATTCCCAAGGTTGGAGGAATGACAATAGAACCTTCTGTGACAAAGCACTCAAGTATCATTTTATTTAGGAAATAATGGCAATATGCCCACATTTAAAATTAAACATAAGCATTAAGCCAAAGCAAACAATAAATAGTAATGTCAGTAATGCTCAGTATTAGTCATTTTACAGTATGAGACTGTTCTCTCTGCAAAAATCTGACTTCTAAATGTACGCTGCAGTCTGTCATATTGTACCTCGGTGAGCGCTCACACTTCTGCCGATGACTGGTATAGTAGTTCTGAATCACAGGGTAATTGTAGCGTAGCCTCGACAGCTGTAGACCATCATCTGAATATTTTTAATAAGTTGGGGAAAAAGATGTCAATATTGCCAAAATACCTCAACTCATAAGTTTATTTTTCTGTAATTCTGTAATATTAACTTTCAGTCTTGCTAAAATTTAAGTAATACAAAAATATACTTTTTCTAAAAAATTTTTATTATCTTTATTTTATGTGTGAGTGTACCCGTGTCGTGCAATTCTGGAGGTCAGAAGAGGGTTTCAGATTTCCCTGGAACTGGAGTTAAGGAAGCTTCATAGCCGCCATGCAGGTGCTGGGAATCAAACCCGGGTACTCTGTAAGAGCAGTCAGTGCTCCTAACTGCTGAGCCATCTCTCCAGCCCCAAAATGTTTACTTTTTTAAAAAAGAAAAATGAAGCTGGGGAGCAAATCTAGGAAGGACTTAGAGGGAAGAATGGAGATGAAGGGGAAGAGGAGCAGATACGATGAAAATACACTGTATGTTGAGCCGGGTGGCGTGGTGTACACCTTTAGTCCCAGCACTGGGGAGGCAGAGGCAGGTGGACCTCTGAGTTCAAGGTCAGCATGGTCTATAGAGCAAGGTTCAGGCCAACTGGGGCTACAGGGAGACCCTGTCTCAAAAAAAAAAAGAAAAAAAAAAACAAAAACATTTTCTGTCAACCCTATAACAATGATGTCAACATGCACAAGACCCATGCAAATTTAGGCAGACAAAAACCCAGCTCAGAACTGCTGAAATGAACAGCAAGCCCCAATCTTAGCTGAAGAGTTATTGGCAGCTGATTACTGCTGGGTGAGGAAGAGCTGATCTTCTTGAAGGGAGAGACTCTAGATAGGCCGACTAAACCCTGGTGGATGAAGCTGCACTGAGGGACACTAACTTTACCTAATAGGTCTTAATACAAACGACAGAATGTATGAATTCCAGTGGGGGGGAATATGGGAGGGTGCCAAAGGAGAAGGGAGTATAAAATGATTTTATGTATGAAATACACAAAAAATTCAATAAAAAATAAAGTACACTGTATGCATGTATGAAGTCCTGTAATAATACTACAAATAAATGTACAAGAAAAGCAGTCTTTCATGAAAGTCTATAACAAGGATATTGGTTGGCTTAATATCCTAGAAAATACTTGTAATAATTTTACTTCTTTGGCACAAAGTAGAATTTGAAAGCAATCAATATTCACCATTTATTCAAATCACAAGAAAACATGAAAGAATAAGGTCAACAGTTACACACACCAGCAGCAGAACCACTTTTAAATAAAACCTCTTGTACTTCCCAGAAATGCAAGAAGCTGGAATATTTAGAAATATTTTTGTAAACAAACTCTATACAAAGTCTACACTGAGAATTTCTCCAAGTCTCCAATTCTTAGCATTTGTACTATTAGATAAAAAGGAGCATTTAACTAATGGCAAATGCTAAGTTACTCTTTTATTTTTTTAATATTTCATTTTTTATTTTTATTTTATGTGTATAAGTGTATTGCCTGCATGTAGGTAAGTGCACCCATGTTGTACAATGCCTGCGGAGGACAGAAGAGGCCATAGGATCCCCTGGTACTGGAGTTATGGACAGCTGTTAGTTGCCATGTGGGTGCTGGGATTCGAACCTGGGTCTTCTGCAACAACAACCAGTGTTCTTAACGGCTGAGCCATCTCTCCAGCCCCAACAGTTACTATTTTAAAAGAACACACAATCAAACACCAATAAACTGGGTTATAAAAACCATAACTCAACGGGTCTAAGTTATAGGTAACATTATTGAATCTATTTTTAGAAGACGTCTATTTTAGAGAAAATTTACTCTCCTTTTACATGTTAATGCAATGAACACACACAGAACTTGTGGATCAGGTATGACGGAGGCATTGAAGATCAATGTAAAGGAGAATTTAAGACAGGGAAACAAGAGTGAGTCATCAGAAGAGATGATAAGACTACGGAGATGAGGATGTTTTCATTAATATTCAAACATTAAATATTTTACCTAGGCCTTCGGGTAAAAGCCCAGAGTGAGAGAACCAAAGGACCATTTGTGCATACTGACAGATGAGTTGGGTGACCATATGCTTATTGTTCAAGTCCACCAGTCCTGCAAAAGAGTCAACTTTAGTTGTGTAACTTTCAATAAATAATCATCAACAAAAAAATCAGAACAATTTTTCAAAACTATAATACAAACATTAATTTCAAATTTTAAATTCTACTGAATAGTATTCTACCCTAGAATTTCCTAAGCTTATTTTAATACTGATATTCACCTGTACATTTAAAAACTAAATTCTAAGACCAGTAGATGTTTCAGTGAAAAAAGGCACTTGCCAGGTGAGCCTGGTAACCTAAGTTCAACCCCAGAATGAACAAAAAAGTGGCAAGAACCAGTCAGAGTTGTCGTCTGACTTCCATAAATAGAATGCATGCATGCGTATACACTCTTTTTTTGGAGAAAAAGAGTCTCACCATGTAACCTTTGCTGGTCTTGAGCTCATTATGTAGACCAGGTTGGCCTGGAACTCAGAGATCCACCTGTCACTGCCTCCAGAGTGCTGGAATTAAAGGCATGCACCAACACACCCAGCCTTGTAAAAAATTTTAACAAAATATTTGAGAAATGATGTCCTCTTTAACAATGATCCAGCTGGCAATTAAGAACTTTACTCTTACTCTAAGTGAGAAAGTAAAACTTAATAAAACACTCATTTGTAGAAACAAAATGCATACCTCTCTCAGTGATGCCCTGGGCCTCCACTGCAAAACAGCTTAAGACTGTATTGAGGTTGCTAAGAAGTAAATGGCACTGCTGGATAGACTGTATGGTTTGTGGATCGATGAAACGACATGAACCGTCAAATAATGGTGCACCTTCCAAAGATAAAATACAAGGTTAGTTTCAACACAGTAATCTGAGTGAAATTAGAACTATAAATGTTTCAAAGTCCTATTACTATGAGCTTTAAAAATAAAAGCAAGAAATAGTAAATATCAAGAAACTTGGTATGTGCTTTTAATATAAAACTACAAAGAGTCAAAGTAAGAACATGAACTCTCAGGCAGGTGTGGTGGTGCAGACCTTTAATTCCAGCACTTGGGAGGCAGAGGTAGAGGCAGAGGCAGGTGAATCTGAGGTCAAGATTAGCCTGGTCTAGAGTTCCAGGAAAGGTGGGGCTACAGGGAGACCCTGTCTCAAAAAAGAAAAAAAAAGAATATGAACTCTTGAATCGTAACTACTACATATCACAAGATACGAATTTAATGAGCAATGAATCACAACCACATTTAATGTGATTGGTCTAGGCAATATCTTATTTCCAGAGCCCTTCAAATAAAATTCTAAGTTTCTTAATACTATATTCTGTATTTGAAATATTCTAAAAGGGTGAAAAAAAACCAGCAAAACTCTCCATTAGCACAAAGACTTAAGGCTTCAATAATAGCTGAGTTATAGCAAAATGTGGAGGCATACACCTGTAATACCAACACTTGGATGGGGGGAAAGACAGGATGATCTTTGGCTATATAGCTATGTATAACACACTACCATAGCATATTAATTAGCATGTTTCCACTTTTAACAACTCACTGAAAATTTGTTCCAAATTGTTTTAATAATTTTAATCTGAAAATATTTTCTAGACTTTATGATTTAAGATTTTTACATCTTCAAAATGAATAAAGCTATTACTGAAAACTACTACGGAGCTGGGTATGGCGGCCCATGCCTCTAACATGAGTGTTTAGGGAGGTGGAAGCAGAATTGCCCCAAGTTCAAGGAAAACATGAGCTAGATTAAGTTCCATGCCAGCAGAGGCTGTAGCAAGATCTGCCCCAAACCACCTATATTAAAACATATGTTAGGATTAGGTTTGTGTGTGTGTGTGTGTGTGTGTGTGTGTGTGTGTCTTTTTAAGACCTAGAACTCACTAAGCAGACAAGGCTGGCTTTGATCTCACAGAGATCTGCCTGCCTCTGCCTCCCAAGTACTGGGAGATACCATGGCTGGCAGATCAGGATCAGGTTTTAATAACTATTAGAATTTTTCCTGAATACAGAGTTAATACTTACATAGTCTGTCAAAGTCCTCTTTGGTGAGAACTACCTTATTCCATGTCCATTCAAGAACAAATCGTAAATTAGCAGCAGAATTTGGTTGTTCTTATTTGTATTTATGAAAGGAAAAAAGAAGAAAAAAAGAGAAAGAATGATTATTAACTCCAAAATGAAAATTAGTAACTCTGTAGTAGAAACCTGATAGGCAGAACCCTGACCAAGTTCACGAAGTCAACATCAAGTCTAACAAGGTTATCTTAATCCGTGTATCTCATCAGGGAGCAACTCATCTTATGGAGTAATACTTGTCCAAAGTTCAAAACTCAGATCTAATCATGAGGATTGATAAATACAAGCTAAGGGACTGGAGAGATGTCTCAGTGGTTAAGAGCACTGGCTGCTCTTGCAGGGGACCTGAGTTCAGTTCCTAGCACCCACAAGGTGGCTAACAATCATCTATAACTTCAGTTCTAGGTGATTCAAAGTCCTCTTCTGAACTGTATGGGCACTGCATGCACACGTGGTGCACATACATATATGTAGACAAAACACTTGTACATATAAAATAAAAATAAAATAATAAATACAAACTGAGAATCAATCTTAAAAAATAACAAGCTCACGGCCTTTAAAAAAATTGACTCTTTGAGGGGGCTGGAGGAGAGATGGCTCGGCAGTTAAGAGTCTTGGCTGCTCTTGCAGAGGACCTGGGTTCGATTCCCAGCACCCACATAGTGGCTAACAACCATCTGTAACTCCAGTTCCAGAAGAATTCGACACCCTCTTCTGACATTCACAGGCTTTGCATGACACAGGTGCACTTACATACATGCAGGCAATACACTCATACACATAATAAAATTTTTTAAAAATTGACTTCTTTGAAACTCAAAGGTTTAGAAATTTCATCAGATCAAGGGAAATAAAAGACTTGAAAACACAAAGATTCTAAATTCAAAATCTCAAATGCTATTAAAAACATTACTAGATCAGTGGTAAAATTTCAAATGGTGTTAACTTTTGTTTTATCATCACCAAGAGTTTAGACAGGTGAATGTCTTTGTTTCTAGGTAAAATAGTACTGAAATGAGTAAAGAAGCAGGATCCTGGGGCTGGAGAGATGGCTCTGGCTGCTCTTGCAGAGGACCCGGGTTTGGTTCCCAGCACCCACACAGTGGCTAACAACCATCTATGACTCCAGTTTTGACTCCCTCTTCTGAACCCCACAGGCACTGCATGACACAGGTACACTCACACACATGCAGCAATACACATAAAATATTAAAAACAAGCAAACAAAGACACAGGATGCTTTCTCTTCAAATGGTTCACAACAAAGTATTATCAGGGGAGAGTAGATGTATGCATGTAAACAGTGAAAGTGATACCCTACCAATCACCTGGATATATCTCCAGAGAATTTTGCTGAGTGGAAAAAGTTAATTTTAAAAGCTTAGTGCACTGCATGATTCAGTTTATGAACATATTAGAAAGGACAAAACTGTCACTTGGGAGGCAGAGATAGGTGGATCTCTGTGAGTTCAAGGCCAGCCTGGTCTACATAGTGAGTTCCAGGACAGCTGGGGCTACAGGGAGACCCTGTCTCAAAAAGACCACAAAAAAAAAAAAGAAAGAAAAAAAAAAACTGTAGAAGTAGAGAACAGATAAGTGCTTAAGGATGTGGAAAGACGAAGGTGGGTATGCAGGGCAACAAGAAGGATCTTGGATGTAATACTACACACAATTTGCCAGATTGCTTCACTGGGAGGAGAAATACAGTATAAAACAAGTATGCATTCACTCTATATTATGCCTTACAACTATAGTGAATTTATAATTATCTCATGATGAAAGTTTTAAGTAAACTGTGAACTACAACTTTAAAAAAGAGAAATGTTTTATTTATTTATTTTTTAAATCGGATTATCACACCAGGTGTGGTGGCATGCACCTTTAATCCCAGCTCTCCAGAGGCAGAGACTGGTAGATCTCTGTGAGACTGAGGCCAGCCTGGTCCACATAGTGACTGGGACTAGGAAGACTCTGTCAAAACAAAACAAAACCAACAAAAATCTGAATATTACCTTCTATTATCCATGTTCTGATATAGCCAGTCAAAAGTCCCAAGGAACTTGTCTGAATTGCTGCTGACAATATAGCTTCTAATTGTTCTTCCTAATCCATGTTTTATTAAAGAAAAAGGAAAAGACAGTATGACATCACAACAGCAAAAGGCTGGAAAAATCATTATTACCCACTAGTAGGGCTACAATCAGAAAGAAACAACGAAGCCAGAGTGCTGGAATGTATCTAGAACTCTAGCACTTGGGAGGTGGGATAAGAAACTCTCAAGTTAAGGCCAGCCTGGGCAACACATGAGTTTAAGGTCTGCCTGGGCTACAGAGTGAGACCTTACTTTAAAACAAACAAAAACTAAAGAACAACATTGGTAAGAAGTCTGATACAGTCATGGGCCTCCTGCTCCCTATTCACCCACACAACTAGGTGAACCTACTGCTCAGTTTGCTTTCACTTTTCTTTTCTTGGTAGTACTGGAATTGAAATTGTGAGCCTAGAGGACATTAGGCAAGCACTATACCATTGAGCTTTATCTCCTCAATCCTCTTTCTGAGCCTTACTAAGTCGTGCAGGCAAACCTTGAAATCACTCTATCCCAGTCAAACTCTGAACTTATGATCCTCCTGTCTCGGCTTCCTATATGACAGGCTTTCATGAAGGGTGGGGACACAAAATGGGCCAAACACTACCTTACTAGCTTTTGCAAAAAAAAAAAATGTCACTTTTTTTTGTAATACAAAAAGAATAACATATTTCAAGAGAAAATAAGAATATAATCAAAGATCATCTCACTTGACTTAAGCTGGAAGGCTGAATGTCAACAAGTCTTGGTGAGAGGAGGCCAGCAACAAGACATCGGTTGTAACTATCAGGAATGACTTCATTGAGAGATGGTCCTGATTTTTTTAAAAAAGTCAAAGTCTATAATGAGAAAAATCATAGATCAGTCAATAATCAATTCAAGTCAAATTCAAAAATTACTCTATACTTAAAATTTGATTAAAACTTAAAGACTACCTTGCAGGATCTAGGAAAGGGGATTACAGATTCCAGAACTCAACTAACTTTATTTATTTATTTATTTAATTAATTAATCAATCAATTAATTAATTAATTATTTTTGTTTTATGTATATGTATGTTACTGCCTGCATGTAGGTAAGTGCATCCAAGCTGTGCAAGGCCTGTGGAGGACAGAAGAGGCTGTCAGATCCCCTGGAACCAGAGTTACAGATAGTTATTAGCTGCCATGTGGGTGCTGGGATTCGAATCTGGGTCTTCTGCAAAAACAGTCAGTGTTCTTAACTGCTGAGCCATCTCTCCAGCCTCTCAACTAATGTTTTTTTAATCACAAATGATACTGGTAAGACAGTTTAGATAGCTTATGTGGTTTTATGAAAGCCAATAACTTTGGTAACTGATCTAGACAAACGACATATATGCAAATGTTTATTCCTTTGTGTCTAATGTGAGAAATTTGATATGAAATATTACTGATAACTAATTATATTTGGTTGATAATCAATTAAAAGGTCTGCCAAATGTTGAATGTTTCCCTAGACAATCATCTTTCTACACACCGTGTGTGTGTGTGTGTGTGTGTGAAGCATTGTTCTAGGTACCATCTTTATATTACTTAATTTCCCTTTCTGAAAAGAACCAAGGGGAAGCCCCTCCTTCCACCAAACCTACAAAAGGACGATGTGAAAAGTCACTGACCTGTTCCACTCTTTTTCCCTAGAGTTTAAGTAGCTAACATCACATAAACCTGCTAAAAACATCCCATGCCTCTTCCAGCAAATATAAACATGGAAGTTTTCATCAATCCATGAAGTGTATTCTAACATCTGACTTCAGTTAATTCAACACATACTCTGCGTAAGTTGCTAACTGATACATACCTCTTTCTGAAAGCCAGTACAAGTTATATGCACAACTCCTGAGTTTAACAAACAAGTAGCATCTTAAAAAGAAAAAACAATTAATTCTACTTAAATGTTATATTTTAGGTAGCTTTAAGTACAATATAATAAACTACCAGACAATCAATTATACAAAATAACTTTCTCAGTTATCTTCATTCTCAGACAGTAAGAACCGTTATCATATATGTACTAGTCAGTATTTTCTGGAAAACTCCAAACAATTGTTAATTTATAAACACGTACTAAACTTTTCATGCACATATATCAAAAGTTATGTGCTATACGATATGAAGAGACTGTATAAAGTAAACATAACAGATAATCCACATACTACTTTTACATATTATTTTCCTCAAAATATTAAGAAAATACATACCAAAATTAAAAGTACTTGGGTTAAAAAATTGCTCTGGAGGGGGATATGAAGGAGGAACACCCCGACTTAAACTTCGCTCATGTACCAAGATGTCCAGGATATAATGTGGAGATGTTCTACTTACAACGGAATCCAATGACCACAAGGCAAAATAAGAGCAATTATGCAGATATTCTCCAGATCTGAAAGAAAATCCTAAAAATTACTAAGACACTGATCAGCTATACAAGCCAGTATCTGAGGGAGAAGGAAGGAAAACCAAAGTAAGCATACCTTAATGAATCTGGCATTTGTGCATGATACCAACGATTGATGTCAAAAAGCCCCAAATACACAGAAGGCTTTCCCTGTCCGTACACATTCACTTGCCATGTAAAGACAGAAACACTGGTATCAGGGGAGAGAGCTGAAAAAGAAACAATAAAGAATCTCAAACGTACCATCACCACAACAGAATCACAGTAAGTTTCTCATCAATTAAGGTTCAATTCATATTTCATTAGTTATCGAGAAATATTTCTATCATGTGTAAGAGATATAATCTTGAGGGTTCTCTTTACTCAAGATATTAAAAAGCACTCATCAGAAAGTTCTCTCTTCAGTAGTTTCCACAGTTAATACGACTTTGAGATACTGGAAATAGAAAGTAGAAAATGATCTCAATAAATATCCTCTGAAGATGGTGGTACGTAGATACAATAGAAGGTAATCAAATACCAAAAATGGATGTCTGTAAGCATTAAGGTTTAATTCTACAGAGGAATTTAGTTGACAAGAACAAATCTAGTTATACAGTGAAGGGAAAAAAGACAAATACCTAGACAGTGGCAGTGGAATGGCACCAGAGTAAGGGACATCAGCAGGAAACGAGAAAAGCAAAAACCTTGGCCACCACTGATAAGAAACCGAAAAAGGACGATGTGACGGGGTAAAAAGAGAAGCGAAAGCATGCTAAGTTTGTGACATGGCTATTCAGTTAACAAAGGCTCACCAATACACATGTGGGAAGTAGAAGGGGCATCTTTGGGATGAAAGCTCACTGCGACAAAGAGCCCAATAACACATGCACAGCCAAAGGCCCCAACGGGTGCTCCCAGAGTGGAAGGAGGCTGTAACATGATCCCTTCATCCTTACAACTACTCTTTACAAAAAAATGTCTATCATTACCTCATTTACAGAAGGGGAGGGAGGGCTCAGAAACGTGAGGCAACTTGTCAAAGGTCACAACTACTAACAGGGATGAAGTATGACTCAATGCTGAATTTAAAAAAAAAAAAAAAAAAAAAAACCAACCCAAACACCTTTTACCTGAAAAAAACCAGATAGGAAAAAAAAAAAAAAAAAAAAAAAAAAAAAAAACCCACCCCAAGATCCTTTACCTGAAGAAAGACAAATAGGAAAAATAAAATAAAGAAAAATCCAAGGTCACTACATCATGGCTGTCATATATGGCTCAAGAAATACACAAAAGGGGAAAATATTCAAAGACAAGTTACACTAGGCAAAACTAGAGACCATCTTAGTGTTGGATTAAAATACAAGGGTCCTTCATCATCCTAATGTACTCAACTCTCAATTCTGTACAGCGATCCAGACAGCAAGAAATACAAAGTGTCTCATAAAAGCCAAACAAATCCCATAGTCACACTAACTCCAGCACCAATACCTGTCATAAATCTTAAATCAAGTCACCACACAATATAGTTAACAGTACTTTTAACTGCATGTGGCCCTTGGTAGATTGTTCAACTGTGTTCCCGTGCATGGCTCCACACCCAGAAGTATATAGGGCTAGAGGTAGGGGCAACTGGTAGGAGTTAGAGATGAATATGATCAAAACACACTGTATGAATTCTCAAAGGAGTAATAAATCCTTTAATGTTAATGACTAGATTCAACTTAAAATATTATGGAATTATGACTGTTAAGAGGATGTTAAATTTCTGAAAAGTGCTAAAAAAGAATTGAAATTGGAATTAAAGATTCCGAGTCACTGAAATAAACTGCCACTATTACACTGCAGAAATCAATATATTGAAACATGTTATCAAATGTGGAAAACACTCAGAAACAAAAAAGTACTTTTAACCAACCTTCAGTCATGGTTTCTTCCCGATCACCATGAGATCGGAATTTCTCTATACTCTGGCATCCCAACAATTTGGTATTACTAGTCTGTCCCCTCAAAGGAAACATGCCGCCTGACAGATCCAGTGTGTATCTTTCTTCACAATATTCTAATCCCTGTAACAGAAAATGTACACAAATCTTAAGAAGACTAAAAAAAAAAAAAAGGAAATAAGAGCATACTAAAATTAAGTATTCCTCCATGTTTAAAGTTTTTCACACTTAACAAAACACAAAAATTTAAAGAGAACTTATCATCTAAAAGGCTATAAAATTATACATACATAAGATACACATACAGAACTATGAATATAAAGTTAGATATGACTCAAAAATAATCACCAATAACTCTTGCAAAGTTATTTGGGAACATTCTTACAGTACTAGTTGGAGTATAAATTGGAATAACAAGATTTTTTTTTTTTTTGTCTTTTTGAGACAGGGTCTCCCTGTATCCCCAGCTGGCCTGGAACTTGCTATGTAGACCATGGTGGCCTTGAACCCAGAGAGATCCACCTGCCTCTGCCTCCCAAGTTCTGGGATTAAAGACATGGGCCATCACACCCCGCTGAGAAACTTTTTTTTTTTTTGTCTTTTTTGAGACAGGGTCTCTCTGTAGCCTCAGCTGGCCTGGAACTCACTATGTAAACCAGGCTGGCCTTTAACTCACAGAGTGCTGGGAGTAAAGGCATGCACCACCAGGCCCGGCCCAAGAAACTTTTTTATACCAATTTTTTTCTTTACGTCAATTCCTTCTTTTATTTTAATAAACATATTTATATATAAAGCTTTACCACTGATGGGGCTAGAGAAATGGCTCAGTAGTTAAGAACACTGCTCTTGCAGAGGACCTGGGTTTGAGTCCCAGCACCCAAATGACAGCTAACAACTGTCTGTAACTCCAGTTCAAGGGGATCCAACACCCTCTTCTGACCTTTGAGGACACTGCATGACAAGGATGCACCTACCTACATGCAGGCATTACACTCATACACATAAAATAATTAAAAAAAAACAACCCAAAAGTTAAATATGAAACAAAACAAAGAATTCATAATTATATGTATCTATGTATAAGTGCATCATATTACTTTTTGGTGGCTATGTAGTAAAAAATATATGTAAACATACATATATATATTTATACATCAAAACTATCAGTATTAGAAAATCCAAAGAGAAATACAGTTTTATTCTACCCAGAAAGAACATTTTAGTTTTCAGTTTTAATGCAAAGTAGATTGAAGGGCCTCACCTTACATGCACATTCAATCTGAAAATAAGAGTGGTTTGGACAATTTTCTTTGATAAGATTAGAATACTAAAAAAGCAGGGCGTGGTGGCACTCACCTCAACCCTGGCACTCCAGAAGAGGCAGGAGGACCTCTGTGAGTTTGTAGCCAACTTGGTTTACACAGAGTTCCATGCCACCTAGAGTTAGACAATGAGACCTTCTTATCTTTAAAAATAATAGTACTGAAAATTAATTTCTAACCAAGAGAAATTTTTGCTCAATAAACAAAAATAATTCTTAAGACTCTTAGTCAGGGATTCCTTTAAGATCTAACTAAAGACTGAGACGCTCCCCCAGAAAAACATACCCATAAAAATGCCCTAAGCATGGTGGTGCACGCCTTTAATCCCAGAACTGAGGAGGCAGAGGCAGGCGGATCTCCGTGAGATCAAGGCCAGCCTGGTCTATATAGGGAGTTTCAGGTCAGCTGGGGCTACAGGGACACCCTGTCTGAAAAAAAGATAAAGAAAAAAAAGAAAGCCACACCTAGTTCAAAGAGTTCCTAATTTCCTAAAACCTACCCATATATTGCCTAAACACTACAATTTGAAAGCCTGTTCTAGAGTTGACAAAATAAGAGTATTAGTAATACTCTTCCTCCTTTTTTTTTTTTTTTTTTTTTAAAGGAATTTAGACTGAAAAGTAAGTAGTCATTTCTGAGCTTTGGTGTATATACAATGCAGTCATTCCAAGGCTTATTGGTTGGTATGTTAGAATAAAATAAGTTAGGATTATTTCTCCTGGACTCTATAATTAGGTTACAAACTTGAATCTAGTCCAGTCTCTTCATTTTAGGAGGAAAAAAAAAATGACACTGCAAAAATTAAGAACACTGCAATGACAAAACAGGTAATATACATTAGAAAGCGCATGATCACTAACGTAGTACTTTTGCTATGATGAACAGAACATTAACTTGAATGTAAGAATAACTTTTCAGTATTTAAAACAAAAAACACATTTAAAATGGAAAAACAACAAAATGGTAATATTCTAATAACCACTTACCTCATATAAGATTTGTCCTGATGCCAAACATTTTCTATCACCAAAGGCCAGCTGAAGCAGATGCAAACTCAAAACATCCCCTTCACTAAAAGAAAGAGACATTACCTAAGACACACTAAACATTAAACCCATCTCTTGCATCCCAATTTTTTACCTAATACAGAATGCACTGGCAAGCTGTCCCTGTGGACGGCAGGTTATTTTTTTGTTTGCGCATTGTCATCCTCTGAAACTACTTTTACATTTTGATTCTAATTAATTAGGCTGATATTTGCATATTTTAGAAATTTGCTAAGTGGCATTGTCTACAACTTTTTTGTTTGTTTTTTTTTTGAGGCAGGGTCTCTCTGTAGCCCCAGCTGACCTGGAACTCACTATGTAGACCAGGCTGGCCTTGAACTCAGAGATCTGCCTGCCTCTGCCTCCTGAGTGCTGGGATTAAATGCTCTTTCTTGAATAATTCTTCAATAGGTATATTTTATTTTTTAAATATTTATTTACTATTTTTGTTTTATGTGTATGAGAATATTATCTACCTGCATGTACCTAAGTGCACCTGTCTCATGCAATGCCTGAGGAAGTCAGAAAAGAGTGTCAGATCCTCTGGAACCAGAGTTACGAATGGCTGTTGGCCTCCATGTTGTGCTGAATCAAACCCAGTCCTCTGAATCTCTTCAGTCTTCCCCGTAGTAGATATATTTTAGTCAGATATAAGGCTGCCTAAAAATACCAACTATACTTTACCTACTTCATTTGCAGTCCAGTGGGTAAGTCCTGGTCAATAGAGATAAAAAGAGAACTCCCCAACGGCAGCTAGAGACCCTTCCTTTAGACATTTTCCTGTTCCTTCTTCGCTTCTACTTATGAAGATCATGCCCCACTCACAAGGAAGAAGAGGGCTTCACAGGAAAGACACAAGGCAAAGGCACCAAATCCATTATAAGCACAGCACTAAGTATACTATGCCACATCATGAGTGAGGTTTTTTTTTTTTTCTTTTGCATTATTTATTTTTTAAGATTTTATTTATATTGTTATTTTGAGCCAGGGTCTCATTTTGTATCATAGCTGGCCTGGAACTCAAAGCAATTTAAAGGATCATAGGTCTGAACCATCACATAGGAGTTTTATTTTTGAGATGGTCTTGCTATATAACCTAGGTTAGGCTAGACAGCTACCTACCTAGATCCCCCATGCCTCAGACTTCAAGTGCTGAGATTTCACTCCTTAAATGAATTTTTATTTGCTAGTTCCAGCATACCACTGTTTACTACACAGTCCTCTGTTGGCCACCCTGAATTCTTGCTAAGTATTAAAGAACCGCAAAGCTGGATTTCCACCTCCTTTCTTTCTGACACATATTCTCATTCATTCTAGCTAGTGGCTCTTAACACCTTGGTTGGTTAATAAAATCACAAGAGCTGGGAGTGGTGGCGCACGCCTTTAATCCCAGCAGAGGCAGAGGCAGAGGCAGGCGGATCTCTGTGAGTTCAAGGCCTACCTGGTCTACACAGTGAGGTCCAGGACAGCTGGGGCTACAGGGACACCCTGTCTCAAATAGACCAAAGGTGGAAAAAAAAACAAAAACAAAACCACATGAGCAGTTGATGAGATAGCTCAGACCAGTGTTCAATCCCTGGAACAAATATAAAGGAAGAAGATTGCAGCAAGGTTTCTTCTGACCCTCACAAACGCACCATGGCATACACATGTACACCCACACCCACACTCTCAATAAATGAAAAAAACTTTTTTAAGCCCAGCATGGTGGCCCACACCTTTAATCTCTGTCAGTTCAAGGCCAGTATGATCTACATAATGAGTTCCAGGCCAGGTGGGGCTACAGGGAGACCCTGTCTCAAAAAGACAAGAATATTTTTTTTTTAATTTTATTTATAGGCTGGAGAGATGGCTCAGTGGTTAAGAACACTGGTTGTTCTTGCAGAAGACCCGGGTTCGAATCCCAGCACAGCCTCTTCTGACCTCTGCGGGCATTTCACAACATGGGTAAACATACCTACATGCGGGCAACATATGCATACACATAAAAAATTTAAAAAAATTTAATTTTATTTATTTTTTAATTTTTTACTTAAACGCAGGTAACATACACATACACGTAAAAAATTAAAATTTTTTAAATTTTATTAATTTTTTTTATGTGTGTGCATGTATTGCCTGCATGTAGGTTAAGTGCACCCGTGTCGTGCAGTGCCCGCGGAGGTCAGAAGAGGCTGTCGGATCCCCTGGGACTGGAGTTACAGACAGTTGTTAGCTGCCACGTGGGTGCTGGGATTTGAACCCGGGCCTTCTGCAAGAACAACCAGTGTTCTTAACCGCTGAGCCATCTCTCCAGCCCCCAGAAAAAAAATTAAGTAAAATCACTAAAAGATCTGTGAGAAAATGCTAATGCTCAGTCCTTATAACCAGAAACTGATTTAATTGGTTTGAGGTAACTAGGTGAAATTCAAACATTTTCATAATTCAGGCTTAAATATCTCTGTATGTAAACAAGGTCTACTTTTCTGGTTTCATCTGTCACTATTCTGTATTCTTCCATTCTGGAGTCTTGCTTTTCTCTCACAGAGTTTACTACCATGTATCCTTTTCCTTCCACTTACCTTCCTATTTCCTCTTCTAATTTCTTCTCTCCCTGACTGCTCTACTGAGAAAAAAAATCCTTCCATATACTCCATGATATACTATATCCTTTCCTAAGTTTTGTCAATATTTACTGTAGCTATCTAAATTTTCTTTAAAGGAGCAACACTTTCTTTTGGCTTTTAGTTTCACGTTTCTGTTCAACATCCCTTGGCCAAATCATTATGGGCCCCAGATGAGGCAGAAAATTGCAACAGAAAGGAGATAGTGGAGCAAAGCTGCTCACCTCATGGCAGCCAGGAAGCAAAGAGAAATTACACCAAACATATGTACTAACCTGCATGTTTGCTAGCCCTCTTCCTCACTGGACTATAGTATCTAGAAGTTCATAAGTTTTATCTCCCTCATACAATGCTCTATTTCCCAGGGCCATTGCCAGCACATAGCAGATCCTCAGTAACTGCTCTAAACAAATATATTGTCCATATGGTAAAGACAACAGCTTCTAAAATATATTTATTCAACAGGATATACTACAAAACTAACAGTAAATGATAACCAGTCAGTTTTTTAAAAATTCATTTTCCATTATTATAAAAGTATGTTTTATTATCATCAGTGACTACTATAGCTACAATTTAAATTTTATGATGATAAATTCATTATAGTGATTCTTCCTTTATTTTATTTGTTCAAATGGCAATTCTGGGGGCAGGGGCACACCACTTGTTTTCTTGATTAAAATTTGGCTTTATATAAAAATTTTTCAATATTTATTTTTATTTTATGTGTATGAGTGTATTGCTTGCATGTGTGTAAGTGCACCCATGGCATGCAATGTCCCACAGAGGTCAAAAGAGAGCTTCAGATCCCTTGGAACTGGAGTTATGAATAGGTGTTAGCGGCCAGGTGGGTGCTGGGAATCGAACCTGGGTTCTCTGCAAGTGCACTCAGTGCCCTTAACCACTGAGCCATCTATCCAGCCCTTACCTCAAATTTTTTTAATTAAGAAAAAAAAAAGTGTGTCTGTGTATGATCATGTGAGTACAAGTGTGCTTGGAGGCTAGAGGGGTTAGGATCTGCCCAATGTGGTTATTGGGAATTAAACTCAGGTCAGAATGGGACATGCTCTTAAATACTGAACCATTTCTCCAACCTCTAACTTTACATTTTATTTTAATCCACTTAAAATACCATTAAGTTGTCAGGAAGTACAGTGATCAGGAAGATAGGACGACAGTGTAGTAACATCACACACCATCATTAAAGCCAGATTCCTTCATTTGTGGCCTCATCAGTACATAGACAGTTTGAAATCTCTTAAGTTACAAAATAAACAATCTATACTTTTAGTAGACATAAACTTCTGAAAACCTTAAAAATGTAGTTCACAAAGATTTAGGGGGAAAAAAAAATCAAGAAAAAAATTCAGACAGTTCTACCACTTGTAGAAGTAAAAAGACCTAAGTTCCACAAAAATCAAAAGTGACAGGATAGAAGTGAATGCAGAAATACATTATCACCAAGGTCCAAAATACACAGGAACCACTTTCAACTTCAGTGTTGGGATCTAAAAAAAACTGAATTAAAAAAAAAAAAAAAAGTGCCACAGAGATTAAATTCACCACCTCCAAAAAATGATATTAGAAAGAAATACAGAATGCAAAAACTGTCAGTAAATGAACTCTCATTCCCTGTTTAGGACTTTTATAAATCCCATTTTCTCAAGTTGCTGACCCACATTATAACCCAACAGGTGTGGATAAAAGTACAGATGTGATTCCATGAGGGTGAAAGACCCAACTACAATTTATGTATTTTCATTTTCTCTAGTTTTTGAAACATTTCAAAAATGGCAAATCAATTCTTATTTAATGAAGTACAGTACAGAGCAACACAAAACCTCAAACTGCTCATAGTTCAGGTATCTAGAATCAAGTTAGTTTACTAAGAGCACAGCATTTATAATCAAAACTGCTACATTAAAGAACGCCAAAGAATGAACAAAACTCAGTACTTGCACTATTCAGTACTGTAAATGAGTCCATTTAGCCAGTAAGAAATTAAGCTGAAAGACTTCTCACTAAAGAGAACAATATTAGAACTTACAACAGGCCAAGAACGCTTGGCTAAATTAAACATAGGAACATACTATAAATTAAGCATAGGAACATACTATAAATTAAACATAGGAACATACTATAAAAGGTGAGTGAAGAAGCAGGGAACAAAGAAGAGTAAGGGAACCCAAAACGAGAACTCACAACAGAAGGGAGAAAAGGATAAGAACAAAAACAAGATGATAAATGGAAGGCTATAAGAACCACCAAAGGTAGCAAGAAATTTCTCACTTATCTGTACTGATTTACTCTTTGAAAGGGTATGGGAATAAATATGCACGATGGTTTTCTTAATGGTATCTCAAAATTATTCATACAGAAAATAACTATCAGCTGGGCGTGGTGGTGCAACACCTTTAGTCGCAGAACTCAGGAGGCAGAGGCAGGCGGATCTCTGTGAGTTCAAGACCAGCCTAGTCTACATAGTGAGTTCCAGGACAGCTGGAGCTACAGGGAGACCCTGTCTCAAAAAGACCAAAAAAAAAAAGAAAGAAAAAGAAAATAACTATCACTTTCACATATAATTTCCGCTACCACTCATTAATGTCCTGAATGCTGTTTTCATTCAAAGAAACATAGTTCAAACCTCCTAAAAGAAATTAATTGGTATGATTTTGCTTCTTTTTTTTTTTTTTTGCACTGTGGAGTCATACCCAGGACCATGTATATTTGAGACAAGTTCTTTAACATTGGTATGCCCACAGTCCTTTCCTTCCATTCTTTTTTTTTTTAAAGTTTTATTTTGAGGTGAGAATTGCTGACGACGCCTTCAAAACTGCTATACAGCCCAGGCTGGTTCAAACTCTTGGCTCTTTTGCCTCAGCATTTTGTATGTGGCAACAAATCTGAGGTATGACAAGTATTTTTCTTTTTCTCTCTTTTTTAAACCAGGTTGGGTCTTGTGCATGCATGTCAAGTTCTCTACCATTATGTACTCAGCCTCAGGACACATACTTTTTAAAACCACATGAATACTAACCTATCTTGTGTGGACTGAACAGCCCATAAGTAACAGCAATTGCGAGGATCATTCTCAGGCTCTTGAAAAACAACAGCATAGACAGGAACCCTTCCACCTTCCAACTGTGTATAATACCTAAAACAAAGTAACAGGTTGCTTAGTTTTTGATTAGAATTTTATTTTTGGAAAAAAAATACCTTATGTAAGAATTTGAGCTAATGAATATTGTTTATAAATTTTCCTAAATTCAATGATTTGGAGGGACATAGCCAAGTCATCCCTCACATTAAAAAATATATCCTGGGGACTGGAGAGATGGCTCAGCAGTTAAGAACACTGTTCTTACAGAAGACCCGAGTTCGAATTCCAGCATCCACATGGCAGCTAACAACTGTCTGTAACTCCAGTTCCAGGAGATCCGGCAGCCTCTTCTGTCCTCCGCGGGCATTGTACAACATAGATGCACTTACTTACATGCTAGCAATACACACATACACATAAATTAAAAAAAAAAAAAAACAACAAAAAACACATATATCTATATGCTGGGCATGGTGGCACACACCTTTAATCCCAGCTCTTATGAGGCAGACAGATCTCTCAGTTCCACAACAGCCTGGTCTACATAGTGAGTTCCAGGCCAGCTGGGGCTACAGGGAGACCCTGTTTCAAAAAGACCCCCCCCCAAAAATTTATATATATATACACACACACACACATATATATGCGTGTATATATATGGCACAGCTGGGTGTGACAGCATATACCTTTAATCATAGTACTCAGGAGATGGGGGGGGGCAGATCTCTGTAAGTATGAGTTTAGCCTGGTCTGCAATAGTGACTTCTAAGCCAGCATGGGCTACGGGGAGAGGTGTCTCAAAAAAATACATAAATATTGAGAACACTTTATTAAACTGCTGAGGCTAAATTCTATAATAATTCATATTACACACAAACAATTTACTCACATGCTCATATTCTATTAGCAAATGGAAGATCATGATAATGCCAATTATGATAATGCCTCCTCCCAACTCCCTTTTAAAAAACATTTTTAGGGATTTATGTGTATGACTGATTTGTCTACATGATGCAAATGTACCATGTGTTTCCAATGCCCATGGAAGGCAAAAGAAGGCATCCAATCCCCTGAAACTGGAGTTACAGATAATTGTTAGCCACCATGTGGGTGCTGGGAATGGAACCCAGCTCAGTCTTCTCTCAGCCTTCTCCCTTCCCTCCCTCCTTCCCTCCCTCCCTCCCCCCCCCCTTTCCCTATTTTCTACTTGAGACAGGTACAAGATGAATCCTGGGCTGGCCTCCAATCTCAATCTTCTTCCAAGATGCTTTTAAACTGAAAGAACCAACCTAAATTCATATGCTAAGTAATTTTCTTAAATTATGATATCATCTAATAAAACGATTCATATTCATTTATCATATGACTAAAAATGATTCATTTTTCATGCTAATTTTCAAATAATAAGCTGTATTTTAAAAGAAACTATCAATAATCAAGTAAGTACTTACTCTCTCTTCATGCTTTTCATATTCCAAAGTGCTAGGTAACCATCAGAAAAGCCGATAGCAAGCTGATTGGTTCTGCTAACATAGCTGAGAGTAGAAACAGCTGTCCCCAATGGGCTCGCTAGCTGGAAGCATAGGTGGCGCCCTTCCCTCATCACACGCTCTCTGATGTGCGGTACTTCAGCTGGAATACCAGTTATAACCTCAAGGTCTGCAATAAAAAATAAGACCACTAAGATTTAAGAACTTGAGGACTGGCAAGACAGTTCAACTGATAAAGCCACCTGCTACCAAGGCTGACAACCCAAGTTTAATTCCCAGGTCCTACAGCTGTCCTCTGACCTTCACATGTGCACTGTGACACTCATGCCTTGATACACACACACACATACACACACTTCAAATCAATAATGGTGGACATAGAGAAGTGATTCCACAGAGATAGCCTTTTACCACCAAACCTACACACATATACATAATAATTTTAAAAACAAAAAAGTAATAAGTGACACAGGGGCACATATATGTAATACCATGGAAGGTAGAGGCAGGAGGATCAGTTCAAGGCCAGAATTACATATCGAGTTTGAGGCCAGCCTAAGCTAAATGAGACAGACTCAAAAACAAAACAAAAAACTAGTTTACACCTGAAAAAAATATGGTATCACATAAAACCATATAGGAAATCCCAACATGTGGGGATTTTGCCAAATAACTACCTCTCCAGTAAACTTGAGACACTAAAAGAACAGAACATATAAACTGGGTCTGTTATACAGTAAAGAGACTCAAGATCAAATTGTCAGAAGTAGTATATATACTAGTAGTATATGAACTCTGTTCTAATTCAGATCCAAACAACTCAAAGGTAAAAGATGCAGCCGGGCATAGTGGCACACACCTTTAATCCCAGCACTCAGGAGGCAGAGCTAGGTGGATCTCTGTGAGCTGGAGGCCAACCTGGTCTATGCAGTGAGTTCCAGGCCAGCTAGGGCTGGGCTACAGGGAGACCCTGTCTCAAAAAAGACCAAGAAAACAATAAAAAAGGCAAACGATGTACTACACAAGTATATGGACTGTACAAACTAAATTCCTGGGTTAAAAAAGGACAGAAGCGGCCAGGCGTGGTGGCGCATGCCTTTAATCCCAGCACTTGGGAGGCAGAGGCAGGCGGATCTCTTTGAGTTCAAGGCTAGCCTTGTCTACATAGTAAGTTCCAGGACAGCTGGGGCTACAGGGAGACCCTGTCTCAAAAAGACCAAAAAAAAAAAAAAAAAGGACAGAAGTGATGAGTGAGGCAGCAATGAAATCTAGGAGTTAAGGAGCAGAGTTGAGGGTGAATATGATCAAAATACACTGTATGAAATCTTCAGAGATTAAGAAGATGTGTTAAAAGTTGGGTGTGGTACATGCCTTTAGTCCTAGCACTTGAGAGGCAAAGGCAGGCAGATCTCTGTAAGATCAAGGCCAACCTGATCTACATAGAGTTCCAGGCCAGCTCGGGCTACAGAAAGACCCTGTCTCAAAAAGACAAAAAAAAGAAAAAAAGATATATTATTATTATTATTAATGTTACTAAGTAACATTACTAAGTAATACAAAGGAAAAGAAAAATGAAAAAAAAAATTGCATGTCAATTTTTGAAAATTAACTTGAATTTGGAGCTGAAGAGATGGCTCAGCATTAGAAGCACTTTTCTGCTTTTGTACAGGACTTGGGTTAGGTTCCCAGCATCTATATAGCAGCTAACAACCGCCCATAATGCCAATTCCAGGGTACCTGACACCCTCTTCCGGCCACTGCAGGCATTGAGGGACACAAGTGCACTCACATACATGTAGGCAAAACACTCATACACATAAAATTAAGAGAAAAAATAAATTTAAATATTATTTATTTTACGCATATGAGTGTATTACCTACATGTGTTTAAGTGTACCTATGTCATTCAACGCCCACAGAGGTGTGAAGAGGGTATCAGATCCCCTGGAGCTGGAGTTACAGACGGTTGCTAGTGCCATGTAGGTGCTAGGAATCAAACTGCCATCCTCTGCAAGAACAACCAGTGCTCTTAACCACTGAGCCATCTCTCCCAGCCCCAATAAATAAAATTTTACAAAAAGAATATTAACTTGAATTTGGATGATGGGTAATCATATTCTTTTTAAAGATGGCCAAAATCTGTAAAAGACAAAAAACAAAAAACAAAAATCCAGTCCTTATCTTGCCATAACTGCTGACAAGATCAGATCCCCTCAATTCCGTTCTGGAAAGAAAACACATCAAACTGTAATTTAATGGATTCTTTCCAAGTCCTCTCTGCTTCCGATTACATTTTCAAAGAATTCGATTAAATTTTGCAAAAATAAATCAGAGTCTGGAGATGACTCTTAAAGGACTCAGGTTTGTTTCCCAGTACCTATATGACAGTTTACACCCAGTTCCAGGGATATGACGCCCTCTTCTGGCCTCCGTAGGCACTGTACACATGGTTCCACTCACATCCTTGCAGGCAAAACACTCATACACATAAAATAAATGAAAATTTTAAAATAAATAAATAAAGCAGGGGTTAGGGAATGTACAGCTCAGTTGGCAGAGCATTTGGCATACACAAAGCCCTGGGCTACATGAAAGCCTGTCTCTAAGATAGATGGCAGATAGGAAAAATATACTTGTATGGAAAGATAGTTAAGAAAAATACTGTTAAGTAAAAGCAGCAACAGTATTTTTAATATATAGGCACGTATATACAGTACAGTAGGACATATACGGAGAACTTCATTACTGGTGTTTATGCATTTCAGTAAAGTCTAAATCTAAATAGTTGAATTACTTTTGTAAACAAAATAAATGTTGCATTAAACTCCACTCAATTTATTATGCTATAAAAATTGAACTGTTTAATTTTCATAATTAAGAAATAGTGCGAGTAGTTCTAAAATTGCAGATTCCAGCACTTGGAAAACTAAAGCAGGAGGATTACCACGAGTTTAAGGTGAGCTTGGGCTACATATAAAGAGACTGTATCTTAAAAATGAACAGGGCTGAGGGTGTAGCTCAGTTGGTAGAGCTACACATAGAATGAATGAAGACTGGTGTTCAATCCCTAGCACCTTATAAAACCAGGTATGGACCCAAATGGAGTCCTGGCATTTGGGAGGTAGAGGCAGAAAGTTTGGAAATTCAGCATCACCCTTAGCTACACAGGGACTTAGAGGCTAGTCTGGGTTAAAGATCCTATAGATCCTATCTCATTCAATCATAAATAATCAAATAAAGTGGTTTTGTTCACAATCCATGTCTGTGTATTTCTAGTGATTATTGAATATAAAGGCTATCAATACTGGCTAATAAGTATCAAAATGTTTTCTTTTGCTTTCAAGTATTACTTTAGACCTTATTAAGTACATATATTGAAACAAATCACTATCTTTGTACCTCTTTCTTTCCACTTATTTTTCCAGAGAAAGAGTCTTGGCATGTAGGATGGGCTAGGCTAGAACTTTATGTAGACCACTGCCTTGAACTCATAATCCTTCTACCTCCTTCATCCAAGTCTCTATATTTTGCAAGGTCTACTTTGGTATATTAACACTTCAACAGAGTAACCCATGCAAGAATTCACAGTGCCTAGACATACAAACAAGATGTACTACTTGCTCTTGCAGAGGACCCAGGTTTGGTTCCCAGGACCCACACGGCAGCTAACCACCAATCTGTAATCCCAGTTCCAGGGGATCTGACACCCTCTTCTGACTTCCATGGGCATTTCATGCACATAGTGCATTTACATACATGCAGTTGAAACAATCATACACATAAAATACTGAAAATTTTTTTTAGCCATTTAAAATCAACACTCCATTACAACAGAACATTCATGTTTAATTTTTGGTTTCTAATAAAAAAAAAAAAAGGACCAATTACCTGATGCCTCTACTTCACTTTGACTGCATGACAAGTCATCCAAACACAGGTCAATAAGAAGAATTTGTCCAACATCAGTTACTACAGCTGCCACACCAAAAAGCCATCGAAGACTTGGGTGTAAATGCTGGGTACTTGCACTGGCTCCTCCATGATTAATTATAGGCTCAATAGCTGTTACCTAGAAACCAGAATATGTGATTAGCTAGCTTTTCTAAAGTGAGAAAATACAACTAAGTGTACAAGAAGATTTGACATTAAGACAGGTTATTAACTAGAATTAAACATTATCAACAAGCATCATAAATTTGCATTTGACATTTTTTAATCCAAGTAAATAGTAAAATACACAGATATACTAAGAAATTATACTATATTTCAATACTGTAAAAACATGCAGTTAAATAACTGATGTTTTCTAAGAGCTTAGCATGTGTTAGCTATTTTTGCTAGCTGGCTCATTTAATGTTCATTATAATCTTTTCATACTGAACTGTATGTAGGGGGTGAAAAGATGGCTCAGCTCACTTACAGCTCATCCAGAAGACCTGGGTTTAGTTCTCAGCACCCTCAAGGAGGCTAACACTCATCCTTAACTCCACTTCCAGGGGATCTGACACCCTCGTGTCGCCTCCAAAGGCACCAGGCATGACATAGTGCACTTATATAGGTGCAGGCAAAACACTCATACACATGATTTTTTATTAAAATCTTAAAACCTATATGCAATTATCTCTACTTAAAGAAATAAACTGAGGCCTGGAACATTAACTTATAAAATAATAAAACTGTATACTGTTCTTACTTTAAAGCTCTTGGGCAACCACTTTAGGATTATCCTATGTAGGAGTAAAGTAATCATTACTAAAAATTTTAGTTTCCTCTTCCAAACAAAATAACAACAAAAAGGCCAACATACCCCACACAAGATGTCTGCTATATTTATACTGAGAGAGAGACAGAGAGACAGAGAGAGCGAGAGAGAGAGTGTTGGGGGAGGGGGAGATTTTCTCTATTTCTAAATGAGTCACAATCTGATTTCTTTTAAAATACGTAGTCCTGGCTGACTTAGAACTCTTATGTATACCAGGCTGGCCTCCAACTCACATAGATCTACCTGCCTCTGCCTCCTGAGTATTGGGATTAAAGGAATGGGCCACCACACCTAGCTACCTTAAACTATAGATTTTGAACTTTGAGTCATTCACCTTGTTTTGTGTGTGTGTGTGTGTGTGTGTGTGTAAGATGTCTGCTATATTTATACTGAGAGAGAGACAGAGAGACAGAGAGAGCGAGAGAGAGAGAGTGTGTTGGGGGAGGGGGAGATTTTCTCTATTTCTAAATGAGTCACAATCTGATTTCTTTTAAAATACGTAGTCCTGGCTGACTTAGAACTCTTATGTATACCAGGCTGGCCTCCAACTCACATAGATCTACCTGCCTCTGCCTCCTGAGTATTGGGATTAAAGGAATGGGCCACCACACCTAGCTACCTTAAACTATAGATTTTGAACTTTAGGAGGCAGTGAGATGGCTCTGAGGATAAAGGTGCTTACTGCCCATTGATGCAAACCTAACTCCAAGTTATCCTCTGACTTCCACACAGATACCATGAAACGTACACTGTGCACCCCCACCGACAAAATAAATAAAATTTAAAAGACAGAGAGAACCAACTCCATAAAGTTGACCTTTTTACTCCCACTCAAGTCCACACACCCCAGTAAATAAAAGTGAAATTAATTTTGAACTTTCTACTGAAGGTAATATATTTACACAAAAAAGCATTAATTTTAAATACACAGTTCGAGGAGTCGTCAAGGTAATTTTCATCTTTGAAAGCAGAATATCAAGATATGGTAACACAGTACATACCCTTCCAGGAAGAACAACTGCTTTAACCACTCTTGATATACCAAGGTCATAGAGACACAGAACACTCCCTTCTGCTTCTTCCAGTCCTATTAACAATCCAGTTCTCTTATGCCAAGAGAATTCTTTCACTGCAAGGACTATAGGAGCCTGTTCATTTACTCCACTGAATCTATATGCAGACAATCGCTCTCCAGTTAGAGAGTTTACAACCTCAAGTTGTGGACCACAAGCCAAGCAAGCTAGTCCATTTTTCCCTGCAGAGGAAAAAGAACAAAAATACTGCTTATTGTAATACCATATGGACATAACAAAAGTAGTAGTTTTCTTAAACATACAAACATATAATATGTAGCTCATTATACAAAGCTTATTACAAAAGCCCCAAATTGAAATCAAAACATTTATAGAAAACGGTGATCCTCTAATTAGTAAATAATAACAGCAAAATCAGTAGAGGATCCATGCTATGTGCCTAAATTCATCATTACAATATAAGGCAACTTAAAAGTTTAATGCATTTTACTTGTCTAAGTCACACTGTTACAAAGTGACACAAGTACAGAAGCAGATCCCAAGACCAGGTATAATGGCATTCCTGTTATCTCAGTACTTGAGTGGCAAAGGAAAGAATCATCACAAATTCCAGGGCAGCAGGAGCTACATGAATCATAAAATGTTAACATGAAGGGCTGGAGATGGCTCAGCAGTTAAGATCACTGGCTGCTCTTGCAAAGGACCCAAGTTTGGTTCCCTTGCTAAACTGCCTGTTAACTCCAGTTCCAGGGGTCTGACACCCTCTTCTGGCCTCTGTGGGCACTGCATGACACAGGAACACTTACACACATGTAAGCATAACACTCATACACGTAAGAAAATAAAGTTTATATATCTATGTCACACATGATTTCAAGCCTAAAGAGTTCATAATCTTAGAAGGTAAGACATAACTAATGTAACAACAGAAAGCATCAGAACTCTCTCTCTGGTCTACTAGTCCTGTTCAAATTTAATTCTGTCTCTAACACAAAGCCACCGGATGGTACGAAGCAGGCAAATAATCTAGTTTGTTTTTAAATGTTACTCTAGTCACTAAACAAAAATGGAAGAGAGCAGAGTAGTAACAGGGAGATGCAAACAAAGCGGATGAACTGAGATTCATCTTAGAGACTGAACAGAATTACTCAATCAGATAAAGAGTTCAATAAAAGAATTAAGAACAGATCAGACCCTAAGATAGAAATGGTGGCACATGTCTGTAATCCTAACGCTTGGGAGGCGGAGGCAGAAGGAGGCTTATCTCAAGGTGGGGGGACAGAACCTAAATTTCTGAATTTTCACTTGAACAACTAGATAAATAGTAACTTTACCAGTAAGTTAGAGATGTCCATTATTGTTGTAATTGTTTTGTAATAATTTCCTCCTAGTTGAAACATTCCTACCAGGAAGGACAGGGGAAGTTCAAGAAGTAAACAGACTTCACTAAACTGGGAAAGCTGAAATTCTCCAAAGTCATGGAAGCAGTAAACAATTGCTGGGGGAGGAGATTCTGACCAGAGGAACTGACAAGAGATTCTCTGCCTCTAAGTGAAACTGTCTTCATGTTGTGCAAAGTTCCAAGTAGGCAGCTTTTGGAAGTCATGGCCCATGCTTTAGTGATGCAGTTGTCACTAAGTCATTCCTGCTCCTATAACCCCTCACCCATATTCCTGTAAGGGACCCAATAAACTCATTGGTTCACCAAGTTGGACTTTGGTCTGTTGTGGGTTCCCTATCTAGGGGGTAAGCAGGTTTGTATGTTGTATTTCCCTCAAAAGTCTCACATAATGATCATGCATCCAGATGGATAGCTAGAAATACTAGTTTATAGACGAGGGGCACTATATACTGTAGTTTATGAGTGGAGACCCAGAATGGCAAGGTTCAAAGCTCCTTTCTGCACTTGCTATCTGTATAAGTAGGATCACATTAATTACTTTTATTCTCAGCTAGATAGAAAAGTGCCTACGCAGAAGTGTCTACCTGCCATAATGAAAAGCTGTCATGCTTACCATAGTAAGCACTACTACTTTTAATTTTCAAGACAACAGCACTATAAATGACAGCTATCTCTGCTGTGGTATAGTTTCCTGCTGTACTACACAATCTAAATGCTATATATTAAGATCTGTTCACTGACATTTATGTTCTTCACTTCCACAGGGTAGATGTTACAGCGTCCCTTTATCACTTCAAGTCCATAACCAACCAAGACCAACAGTGGACCTGGACAGCAGGACTCACTGGATAACCATCTTAGCACATCTTCAGTGCCAAGGCCCTCATATTACATCATCTCTTCTTCGGGTGGCTTTAAAAAAGGACCTGTGAAGTAACAGCAGCCCACAGTCCTGTAACAAGAACTGCACAGAAGAGCAGTACTCCTGTCTACCTTGGATGACAGGAAACTGGCCTTCCTTTGTTGACTGCAATGACTGGGAAATGGTGGTACAGGATGAGCCCAGTCTAGGGGAAGAATGGACAACACATTCTGGCAATTCTGGATGATCTGTGCTACAGGGAACAGAATTACAACCACAAGAATTCCCCCAAGGCTCTAAGAGAACCATTTACTGTAAAAAAGGTAAAAACTGGTGGTTCATGCCTGTAGTCCCAGCACTTGGGAGGCAGAGGGCAGGCTGATATCTTGGGAGTTCAAGGCCAGCCTGGTCTACATAGTGAGTTCCAGGACAGCTGGGGCTACAGGGAGACCCTGCTTCGAAAAGACAAAAAAAAAAGTAAAAACCAACCTGTGGAAAATACATTTGGAGAATTTAAAATATTTACACATCTACAAGCCAAATGGATCTCTTATTTGCACTTTAACTGTTGATATGTATAAAAAGCCTCAGAATAAGAAGACTCAGAATTTTTTGGCAATACCATAGAAAATGGATCCTAAAAGAACTAACTTTTCCAGCTGGCAAGATGGCTCAGTAGGTAAAAGCACTTGTCACTGGGCCTGACAACTTGAAACCCGAGTTCAATTCCTGGGATCCACAAGGTAGAAGGATAGGACTATTCCTACAAGTTGTCCTTTGACCTCTCCCCACAAAATAAATGTTGAATTTTCTGTGACTTTTTGAGGACTCGTAAATAAAGAACTACTCCTTCTGACTTGAATCTGGTGCTACTTTGTACCATCTCAAATATATCTGAAATATTTTGAAACATTTCTTTTCAAGAAATGAACAGTGGGGCCGGCAAGATGGCTCAGTGAGTAAAGGCACATGTTGCCAAGTTGGACGACTTGAGATCAATTCCCAGGACCCGTATGGTACAACAACAGAACTCTCAAAAACTATCCTCTGACTTCCACATACATACATAATGTGGCACATATATGCCCCCTGACCCAGTAAATGAAAAAACATACTAAAATAAAAATTTCTTAAAAGAAATGAACAGTGTCACAGGGTCAGGTGGATGGTGAACCCCTTTCACTTTTGGATGTTTGGTTTTCCTTTCCATTTCTTTTCCTCTAACTAAAGAAGATACATGCCTATGTAAGAATCCAACATGGCAGGCCGGGCATGGTGGCACACACCTTTAATTTCAGCACTTGGGAGGTAGAGGCAGGTAGATCTCTGTGAGTTCAAGACCAGCCTTGTCTACATAGTGAGTTCCAGGCCAGCCAGGGCTACAGGGAGACCCTGCCTCAAAAAAAAAAAAAAAAAAAAAATTCAACATGGCACTGGCTCTGGAAGGCCAGTGGCAGGTGGACTTCTGGAATCCATGGCATCCTGATAAACTCTGAATTAAGAACTTCCTTCCATTTCTACTGAGTGGCCCAAGGAAGTATACTGTCTTGTTTTACTACTTTCTACCTGGTGCAGTATTAGCATGCAAACTCAGCTTACAGAACCATACTTTAAATTCAACTGATCTACAATAACCTTCTAACCTCTTCCAAGAAAACGTTTATAGAATTACTAGTTTTGGTTAAGAAAAATCAGTGTTCTTTTGTGTGTGTTGTGGTGTGCGCACATGTGCCTACACTTACAGAAGCCAAAGGAGGATTATCAGAGTCCCGCTTTAGCATTCTTTGCCTCTTCCCTTGAGACAGTCTCTCACAGAACTTGTAGTTAGGGTGGTAGACAGCCCCAGTGATTTTCTTGTCTCTACCCCCCACAGCACTGGAGTTACAGTACATGCGTGGCTATGCCCAACTTTTTATGTGGGTGCTGGGAATTCAAACTCAGGTCCTCATGCTTACATAGCAACTGCTCTTACTGAGCCATTGCCCCAGACCCATGAAAATAAGGATTTTCTTGGATACTGCTCCACCATGCTATTTAGACTCTGGGAGATGGTAGGCTACAGATCCCTTATTGATAAAACTTGTCAACACAATGTTTTAGGGCTTTTATTGCTATCCTAGGCACAAAAGTGTCCTCTGATCAAATCCAATGGCTGGCATTAACTACACAGTGCTCTAGAATTCCTATGCCTGATTTGCTTTTTCCTAGAGTCTTCCTAGCTCTACTGAGAAAGGAAGCTATGAAAGCAACAAGGCTTCAGAATGATCTAAGTGTTAGACAACCCTGTAAAGTAGTAAATAACTTTTTTCTTATGAAAAGAGTCAGGCATGGTAGTATAAACCTGTAATCTGCAGCAAGAAGATCACAAATTCAAGATCAGCCCTGGTTACAGAACGAGTCTAAGGTGAGATTGAGCAACTTCAAGAAACCACGCCTCAAGCTAAAAGTTAAAAAGAGAGCTCAGTAGTAGAACACTTACTCAGAATGCACCAGGCCCTAGGTCCAACCCCCAGTACTGAAGAAAAAGTAGTGACATCTTTGGATTAACAGAATTAGAAATTTTTTAAAAAATTACTGAGGACTGGAGAAATGGCTCAGCAGGTAAGAACACTGGTTTGTTCTCGCAGAAGACCCAGGTTCAAATCCCAGCACCCACTGGCAGCTAACAACTGTCCGTAACTCCAGTCCCAGGGGATCTGACAGCCTCTTCTGACCTCCATGGGCATCGCACGACACAGGTGCACTTACCTACATGCAGGCAATACACGCATACACATAAAATAAAAATAAAGCAGGAGGACTAGTTCAAGATTATCCTTGTCTACATAGGAAGTTTGAGGCCAGCTTTGGATATATGAGACCCTGTCTCAAACAAACCAAAAACAATCACTTTAGGTTCTAATTTCTAATGTCATCACCAAAAGCCATACTGATTATAATGAAAAATAACTAAGTTGTATATTTTTCTACTTTCAAAATATACACAATACAAAAAGATATGTATATATGTTTTGTTCCATTTTTGTTTGGAAGGAGGGGATTTTGTGTGTGGTGTGTGGGTGCTTGTGAACACGTGTGCAGTTGTTTGCCTCTGTACATGCTCCTGTAAAGGCCAGAGGTTGACTTCAGGTGTCTTCCTCTATGGCTGTCCACTTTACTTTTTAAGATAGTGTCTCTCAGTTCCCCATTTCCTATATAAACTGATTAGCCAGTGAGGCCCACCCAGTGAATCTGCTTGTCTCTATCCCCCAATTTACGCACCACCACACAGGGCTTTTATGTGTATGCTGAAGACTAAGAGCTCAGATCCTCATGTGTAACCAAATAAGCATTTTAGTAAATTATCTCTCCTCCCCAAGTTTTTAATAAGGAAAAAATTCACTAGACACCATTCTCCCAGATTTACTGATGTGTTCCAGAGTATATAGATATTACATACATAGTTACAGGTGCTTTTTTATTTCTTCTACATTAAACAAACCAAAGTATATACTATTTATCTTACAAATCAAATTGCTAAATTTTCTCTTTGAAAAAAATAATTTAGGGGCTGGAGAGATGGCTCAGCAGTTAAGAGCACTGGTTACTCTTGTAGAGGACCTGGGTTTGAATCCCAGAACCTACATGGTAGCTAACAATGATCCATAACTCCAGTTCTAGGGATCTGACACCCTGACATCTGTGGACACTGCACAACATGGTGCACTTACATACATGCTCCCAAAACACTCATACACATACTAATGAATAGTAAGATATAAAAAAAAGTTAAATGATTTATTTATATATATATGCATGTCTGTAAGAGCATGAGCTTGCCTGGAGGCCAGAAGAGGACACCAAATCCCTTAGAGTTGGAGTCAGAGCTTATGAGTTGCCCGACATCACAACTCCAATCCTCATGATTGAGGAAATGGTGCTCTTTAACCACTGAGCTATCTCTCTAGCACCTCCTCGCTCATGTACACTCGAGTGTGTGTGTGTGTGTGTGTATGTGTGTGTGTTAATGGAGATTGCACTTAGGGCCTCAAGTAGGCAAGAGCTCTGCCACTGAGGTATATCCCCAAATTAGTAAATTTTTAACAACACTACTTTACCTGCAGCAAACTTTCCACGAAGCACAGATTCCAATGTTATTTCATCTTCTCCAAGAGCTTCAACAGTCACTTCTGGGAATTGCAGGAGCTCACTAGTCACTTGGGCTGTTAAGTCTTGCATACTTCCACTGTAAATATTTTTGAAAGATAAAATTATTACAATTTATTTGTCCTATTATACAATACACTCATTATTTCTAGTCAGGATAGATGAAAGAGAACAGCAAGCTGCCATATAAAAGTAATTAAAGTAAAATATGTATTATGTACATCTGGGACTGAGGTAGTCTCATCTACAAAAATCTATTTCCTAAGAAAATAATACTTTCAAATAGCCTTAGAAAAATATTAAGCCAGATGTCCTGGATATATACTTCATTCCCTTGATTCTGTGAAAACTGCTTCAGTGCAATTCATCTTACCATCTAACTTACTTTCAAAGAACAGAGAAAGGCGCAGACAAACACAGAGAAAGGGACTGTTCCATATTAAAGGAGTAACTTCTTCCACACTTTTTTTTTTCTTTTTACTTTTTGGATGCCAGGAATTGAACCCAGTACCTCTGGCTAACATTCTCAACCCTGAAAAAGAAAAGCTTTCTTTTCAGAAAACACACACACACACACACACACACACACACACACACACACACACAGTCTATTATCAAAAAAAAATTGTCCAGGAGCGATGGCTCAGCAGTTAAGAGGACCCGGGTTCAATTCCCAGCACCCACATGGTGGCTACGAACTGTCTTTAACTCTAGTTCCAGGGGAATCCAAGGCCCTCTTCTGACCTCCGTGGCATTGTATGACACGGGTGCACTCACATACATGCAGGCAACGCACAAATACACATAAAATAAATCATTTTAAAAAAAATGTCCAGATCCAGAAACCCCGGATTGTGAGTCTGATATATATCTTTTACTGGATTAAAAAAAAAAAAATCTCATTTTTCTTCTATTTCTAATATATAGAAGATCAATCACACAATCTCAAGCAGCCTATTATGTGTGATTAGAGATTCAAAAGAGAGGATCAGAAAAATTAAGTCTAATATGTGAAAACTCAATGGCTAAAAATTCCCCAAATTTGATTAAAAGTGTAACAAATTCAAAAGCTCAATAAACCTTAAGCTCAAGAATGAAACACACACACACACACACACACACACACACACACACACACACACACCCAAAGGACAAAGAGAAATTTTAATCACAGGAAAAGGCACACCAGACAGAGAAAGAGACTAAGAAATCACAGATGTCTTGAAAATACAAGCCAAAAGATAAAAAACATCTAAAGTTCTGAAAGTATAAAAGGAGTAAAATAAGAGGTGCATGAGTGTTAGGCCTGCATGTATTTAAGTACATCTGTGTTTTGGTCAGAAAGGAGCGTCAGATCCCTTGGAACTGGAGTTACAAACAGTTGTTAGCCACCCTGTGGGTGCTGGGAATTGAGCAGCAAGTGCTCTTAACCAGTCACCTCTCTAGCCCCCAGCCCCCTTTTAATCTCTCTCTCTCTCTCTCTCTGAAAACAAAGATAACAGCACAAAGACCTAGAAGGGAGAAATAGAAACATAGAACAGGATAAAGTACACATTACAGACTTAAGTCTGTGAGATGGCTCAGCAGTAAAAGCACCTGCCAAGCCGACACTCTGAGTTCAATCCCCAGGGCTCCCATGGTGGAAGAAAAGACTTCCAAAGTTGTCCTCTGACCTCCACATGAGTATACAAATGTGGCATGTGTATACAAATAACAAACAAATAAAATATAAGGAAAAGAAAGGGTTAAGGAAAAAGATGTATGGCTAGGAATATAGCCCAGTTGGCAGAATAGCTGCCTAACATGCTTCATGTCTGGGACAAGTGCATAAAGCATAAAGCAGGCATGATGGCACACACCTTTAACACCAGTATGTGGAAAGAGGAGGCAGAAGGATCAAAAGCTCAAGATCACCCTCTGACACATAGCAAGTTCCAGACTAGCCTGGGCCTAAGACCCTATCTCCAAAAAATAAAAAAAAGAGAGAAAATTGATAGATATTTAAATCCATATCACAACAACAATCAGTTTAGCAGGTAGCTAAGACAGGAAAATTAACAAGTGTTCAAGGCTAGCCTAAACTACACTACATAGTGAGTTCCAGACCAGCCTGGGTAACAGCATGAGACTTTGTCTTAAAAAAAATTAGTGAAATCCAAGTGATTCTTGAGATTACAACTATATGGGATACAGAAACAGACCAATGAAAGCAAAAGACTAGACACTGATCCATTTTACTTCCAAACAAAAAAAAAATTTCCAATCACCATGAAGAAAATAAACTTAACAGTATCCTGAAACAACCAAGCTATCCCTTCTGGGAGAAAAAAAAATACCTCAATGACACAGAACTGGAAAATTATAGGCAGATCAAAGAGCCTTTCCTTTCAAAGAGGTGGTAGGAAAGGAAGTTAAAACTTATAGAGCAAATTCTATGTACCAGGAATTAATCACACTTAAAATGCTTGCGTTGGGGCTGGAGAGTTGGCACAGCTGTTAAGAGCACTGGCTACTCTTGCAGAGGACTTGGGTTTGATTCTCAGCGCCTACATGGCAGCTAACAACCATTCACATTGCCAGTTCCAGGTATCTAACACCCTCTCTGACCTCCTCGGGGAATGTACAACATGGGTGCACCCACACGAATGCAGGCAATATACACATAAAATTATTAATAATTTAAAAATGTTTGAGGTAAACTGACAGCACTGTCCTGCTAGGGTCTCAGGTCCTCAGCTCAGCTTTATGTCACTGGTGCCTTTATTCTAGGTATAGCACACCATGCTACTTTCTAAGGAAAAAGCTGTTTCAACGCCTATCTCCCTAATATTAGATATGAACTGACTTAGGAAATAAAAATTCTCATCTTTAAAAAAGATTGGGGTAGAGCAGTGAAAATGTAGGAGGCAAGAGAATGTAAGGGGTCAAACAAGGGGTTCATTACGGAAGCTGAGCCAGGTATGGTAGTGTATGCCTTTAATCCCGAGACACAAGCAGCACAGGCAGCCTGATTTACATAGCCAGTAGGGGCTACAGAGAGACCCTATCTCAGAAAAAAAAAAAAGGTGAGCAGCCTCAAGAATTCAAATATGGACTGGCTGGCCAGCAAACTCCAGAGATCCTGCCGTCATCCTCCCCAGCACTAGTATTACCCTACTCTGATCATGGGTGCTGAGCATCCTAGCTCACGCTGTGTAAGGAAAGCACTTCACCAAGTGCCCCATCTCCCCAGCACCCTCATTCTTTTATTTATGTTGATCATCCTACATCTCCAACTGTCAAAATTACACCCATCATTCCAAGACTAACTTCCCAGAAGAATAACCTCATTTCTGACCTGACTCTTTCCCACCTTTGTGCTACCCATCATAACTATGATATTTATTGAAACAAGGCCTCAGGTAGCCCAAGCTACCCTGAACTCACTAAGTAGTCAAGGATAACCTTCAACTTCTGATTCTCCTGCCTCTACCTCACAAGTGCTAGGATTACAGGCACGTAACTCGAAGACCAATTTCAAGTGCTGAGATGTTATCTCTCAGCTTCTTGTATGCTAGGCAAGTACTCTACCAACTGCCACATCCCCAGGCCTTTAACATGATTTTCTAAAAATCATTAAGAAAGTAAAAATTAGTCATTACTCAGAGCCAGGTTGGTGGCACAGACATACAGTTTCAACAGAAGCTGAGAAAGAGAATTCCTATACCACAACAGTTCAAGACCAGCCAGAGCAACATATCTAGAACTCACACAGGGTATGTGTGGGTGGGAGGTAATTATTATTTGTATCTGCCTGTCTTCAGCACCACACTATGTATTCCTAAAAGGTAAAAATTATCCAACATATTTCCTGGTCATTTCACTAGTCACAATGCATTGCAACTAAAAGGTCCCAATTAATACAGCAGAGTAACTGGACATTATTAGAGACACAGAAGAGACACATTAAACAATAAAATCAACTTTTAAAAATTCAATATTGGGCAAGCTAGAGGGATGGCTCAGCAGTTAAGAGCAGTTGCTGCTCTCTCGAGGACCCGGGTTCAATTCCTACCACCCACATGGCGGCTAAGAACCGTCTGTAACTCCAGTTTCAGGGGCTCCAATGCCTTCTTCTGACCTCTGTGGGCATTGACGAAGGCAATACACTCATACACATAAAATAAAGGTTGTTTTTTTTTTTTTTTAAATTCAGTATTGGACCAGCAAGACAGCTCATGAGGTAAAGGTGCTTGCTGTGAAGAATGAAGATCTGCGTTGGTTCCCTAAGATCCACAAGGTGGAAGGAAAGAACTGACTCCAGAAAGAGAGGACCTCCACAGATGAACCTGGGACACACAACACAGCCCCTCAACACACAATAAAATTTGAAGGTTAGGATCAAAAGGGCAACATTTCATTTTTTCTTATCCAGATGTATCACCACCTCACCCCCACAATTTGCCTTACAAACTGGTAACACTTTTTAGTATTAAGTTACCTCGCGGCTCAAATCCCTAACCCCAGCTACTCCAGGGGCTGAGACAAGGCGAGTGCAAGTTCAAAGCCTGCAGGGGCTACAGAGTGAGACTGGCTCAAAAAAGAAAAGAGGGCTGGCAGCTCAATGGTGTATCACCGGCCTAACATGTCTGAGGCTCTAGGCTCAACATTCAGTACCAGCCAAAAAAATAAGAAAATCAGAGAATAAGGACTGTTGCTCATACCACCTGCCATCACCGCCTGAAATAAGTAAACTTATCCTAACAACTTCTGTATTCAGAGAGAATTTGTTAAAGCTCACTAGGAGCAATTCATAAAATCCACAAGCTCTTTAAGATATGAAGAATCAAGTAGTTTTATTCTAAGGAACTCACGTTCTTTGAAAAATGTGTCCAACTGACTTTTTCAAAACTAGCGGCTCGAGTATGGCTCAGGGGTAGGGCGCGGTGCTTAAAACGCGCGAGGCGACAGCTTCGCTCACCAGCATCAAAAATAAGCAAAAATAGCAAATAACACTCATTTCCTATACCCACACACCTTGTCGTTTGCTTTGAGAACAAAACCAAATGATCCCAAGCTGGGAACGCAACTCAAGGGTAGAGCGCTTGCCTAGCATGTGGGAGGCCCTGGATTCTACCCCTCCATCACCCCAAAAAGAAAAGATCCACAAAGGAAAATTAACTGTCTCAATTAAACCACGTGTGTCTATCGTTATAAGAGCAGGTTCACTGCTTCCGCCCCACCCCAAGAAGTCAACCAAAGGAAGAGGCAATCCTCTTGTCCCTCTTTAATTCTCTTAAATGTCCTGCATCAGATCCGCTCCCGGCACGACCTGCGAGAGGCAAACTTTCTTCCGCGCCCAGCATTCACCAAAACCAACCCCAGGACCATGGGGAGCACACCCCCACGTAAGGTCCCCACGGGGACCGCTCGACCAAGCTCTCCATCGCTAAGTCAAACAGCAGCGGGTTTGGGTCTCGAGTCAGACCCGCCCGGGGAGGGCCAGGACCCGCCCGCGGGCGCGGAAAAAGCACGCAGCGCCGCGACTCTGCCGCCATGTGCCAGCGCTCCGCGCCGAGGTTACATAACTAACGCCCGAGCGCTGGAACCACCCACACCGGTCGCCGCTCGCGTCCGCCGCTCGGCCGTTCGGCGCGCGGCCTAGGCCCCGGCCTCGCAGCCCCGCCCTCGCCGCACGGCCCTGCCTGCCACCTCTCGGCCCTACCTGAGGCCGCGGGGCCCGACCGCCGCCGCCGCCCCGTCCCCGGTCAGCGCGCACTGCTTCCGCGCGGTCCGTCACAGCATCTCCCCGGAGACGCGGCCCCCGCTGCCCACGGAAGCTGCTCCTCGGCGCGTCGCCTCAGGCCCGCCCGGCCCCCGACTCAGGGCTTAAAGCTCGGCGGCTGCTCGCGCCGCAAAGCCTCGTCCTCCCCGCTGGCGCCCCGGCCCGCTGGGCTCGCACCGCGCTCTGCGCAGTACCCCGGGCGCCCTGCCCGAGTCCCCCACACACACACAGCCGGGCCGAGGAGGGAGGGAGGGAGGGAGGAAGGGAGGGGGGGAGGGAAAGAAGGTTCGCGGCAAGGGTGGGGAGAGGAGCGCAGCTCGCGCGGCGGGGACCTGAGTTCTCGCGAGGGTTTCGACTTCCAGCGCCAACTCCGCGGGAATTTTCAAACTTTTTCCCTGAGAGGCGGTGGGGGAGGGAAGGGGAGAAACGGGAAACGGCTTCGGGAAAAGAGAGGTTCATTTACATAAAGCAAGGTCTCCCCACCTCCTAGGAGCGGAGAGCAGAAAGACTACAAGTCCCACAGTGCTTTGCGCTCCAGGCGTGCCGTCGGGAGTGGCAGGCTTCCGTGGACCTCCGCCTCCGCCGGGTTGCCGATCTGGTGCTATGTGGTACTTCCCAATGGCAGCCAAGCGATAATCTTCCTTTGACAGCAATGTTTGCCTCGAGTTTTCTGTTCTATGTCTAACTTTTTATGCAAAAAGAGATCCCCTGACTTCTTGGGAAACACTTGTTCTCCTGTATTTTTTCAAATATCAGAGGCCTCAAGCCTACCAGTCTAATCTTTAAAAAAAAATTTATTATTTTTAATTTATGTGTATTGCCTGCTTGTGTGTAAGTGCACCCGTGACATGCACTGCCTACGGAGGTCAGAAGAAGGCGACGAATCCCCCGGAACTGGAGTTACCGATAGTTGTTAGGCTCCGTGTGAGTGGTAGGAATGGAACCCAGGTCCTCTGCAAGAGTAACCAGTGCTCTTAACCATTGAGTCATCAGCCCTTACCCTAATCTTTTTCATCCTATCTCTGAGGCTGAGTCTCTGGCAGAGCACATGTTTGTCACGCTGGGGCCCCAGGATTCCATCTCCAGAGAAAAGTTACTCCAGATCTATGTTTTGATTTGTTAGTGTCTTTCTTTGAAGCTGGTCCCAAGCACCGGGTGTGTTCCAAACAAAAATGTGGAATGGATAATACCAGTAAAAAAAAAAAAAATAAAAGGATTGTAACACAATAGAGTGGGGATATTAGCCGGCTGCTTTATCAGTAAGGTCTGTTTCTGCTACCCTCCCCCACGTACTTTTTGAGATAAAACTGCCTTTTAGAAATACAGTTATTTTGAAGGCTGGAGAGATGGCTGAGCGGTTAAGAGCACCTGGCTGTTCTTGCAGAAGACCCGGGTTCAAATTCCACCACCCACATGGCAGTAACTCCAGTTCCCGAGGCTTCAACAGCCTCTTCTGTCCTCTGTGGGTATTGCACAACACGGGTCCACTTACCTACATGCAGGCAATACATGCATACACATATTACAAATAAAACTTTTGAAAAAGAAATACAATATTTTTGTGTGTGACTTTTTTTTCTTTATTGACAGCAAGGTACAAAGATGTGCTGTTTGCACAAGGCATCATGCTTGTGACAGTTAAGTTTTAAGAGGAATACTTTCAGAACTGTGTTTTTCTTGTGGGTTTTGTTTATTCTGCAGGTGGTGGGTGGAGTGTGTCAAGACAAGGTCTACTCTATCCTAAGTTGGCCAAGAGCTCAAGGTGTAAACGACCTGACCCACGATGTGCACTGGGAATGTGCACGTGGAGGTCAGAGGACAACCTGCTTGAGTCAGGTCTCTCCTTCCACCACGTGGGTCCCAGGGACTGAATTCCGGTCCTCAGGTTCAGCAGCAAGTGCTTTTATTCACCGAGCCATCTTGCCAGCCCTGTGTCCTAATTTGTTTATTTGGTGCTGGGGATTGAACCCAGGGCCTACACTTACTCTGAGCCACATTAGACTCTTCAAACTCATCTGTCCTATTGGTTTCTGTCCTTCTCTTGTACCACATTCTTCAGCTTTAGAACCGTTTTCCTGAGTATTATACTTGGTAGTAAGAAGACCTGAATTTTCAGTCCAGGACTGCTGCTAGTGAGCTATGTGACAAGAAAATCAGGTGACCTTTCTAGGCTTTAGTTAGTCAATATGTAGAGCAAAGGGGGCAGGACTAAAGGATCAATTGCTTCTTTAGAGTGACATTTATTTACCTAAACCAACTCTACAGGTCCTGTTTCTCTACCAACTTCCTGAGAATCATTTTGGAACCACTGAATTGTACCCATATCTCTTGTTTGTTTTGAGACAGGATCTCTTGAATTCCTTTTTTTTGGGGGGGGGTCTTTTTGAGACAGGGTCTCCCTGTAGCCACAGCTGGCCTAGAACTCACTATGGAGACTAGGCTGGCCTCAAACTCACAGAGATCTGCCTGCCTCTGCCTCCCCAGTGCTGGGATTAAAGGTATGCACCACCATGCCAGGCAGAGGATGATCTTAAACTTCTGATCTCTTCCTGCCTCTGCCTCCTGAGTGCTGGGATTACAGGTGTGCACCACTGAAACCGTTTTTATGTAGTGCTGGGGACTGAACTCAGGGCTTGGTGGTGCTAGACAAACACTGAGTTACATCCCAGCCCTGTTTATTTATTTTTTGAGACACTCTTGCTAAATTGTCCAGGCTGACCCTAAATTTATGATCCTCCTGCCTCAGATTACCCAGTAGGTGGGATTACAGGCATAAATCGCCACCCCTGGATTCCCTGTCTATAGTCTTATTATCGGTATGCGGCCAGCTCAAGCTTCTTTTCTATGGTAAATCTTCCCTTTTACTTCAACCCACATGAATCACTAAAACTTGCATTGTTAAACTGTTACTTCATGTCTGTTTCCCATTTTGCCTCTGACTGTCTCCACCCACCCACCACCCCCATCTCCAGCTACCTTGGGAGCACAGACTGCAAATGAAAATGTGCTACTTTTTAACTATTAATTATTAACTTGCTTTGTAAACAATTTCCAGTGCAAAGCTCTCCAACCTTTCTTCATCTTTTCAGTCACATAAACCAGATTATTTTAATTAATTTCAAGAGATATTAATAGTGTCAAATGTAAAAAGAAAAACTAGGTTTGGTAGTTAACAGAGATTAGAGAAAAATGATTAAATCAAATTAAACATTTCTTTTATGTATTCGTCTTCTCTAACATGCTTGGAATTCATCCAAATTGTTTGACCATGGCATCCATTTATACTTGGAGAACATCTTGCATCATCAGTGGTCCACAGAGTAGACTTTGTTAAACACAGCTGCAAAGCTTTCTCTTTGGGAAGGAAAGAAGGATATGAAACCTGGGTCTGGTGATACGTGTCTGTAGTTTCAGCTAGTCAATAGGCTGAGGCAGGAGCACAGCAAATTCACAGTCTGCCTGAGCTGTAGAGTGAGGTCAGGGCCAGCTTGGAGAATTTAAGGAGACACTCTCTCAAAAACCAAATTTTGGGGCTGGGAACCCAGGTATGGTGGTGGCTTATGTCTGTATTCCTAGTACTTGGGAGGCTGAGGCAAGAGGGTTGCCAGTTGGTTTAAGACCAGCTTGAGTTTCAGGACAGCCTAAACAAAATTAAGCCAGGTGTGTTGGTTCATGCCTTTAATCCTGGCACTCTGGAGGCAAAAGCAGGCTGATCTCTATGAAACTGAGACCAGCCTGGTCTATATAGGGAGTTCCAGTCAAGCTGGAGCTACAGAGAGACCTTGTTTCAAAAAAAAAAAAGTGACACTTTTATCTTGGGGCTAATAAACAGCTACCTAATTGGTCTAAAAGCCCACTCCATGGGAGGAAACTCAAGTCTGGTACAGTAAACCCAGCCAAATACATGTAACTGGAAAGGTTATAGATCTTAGAGAAAACACCAAGGCTGTCACATCTCTAGACTAATGTAATTTCTTACTATGTGCAAAATAGGGATCCTTAAATTTATAGACAAGTATCCCAGTCGCTACCTATCAAAGTAGCTTCTTTTTCAACAGACAGATTATTACAGAGTTACACCACTGGTCACACAGAGATTCTTTGTGAATTGCCCAAGCATAAGTGGCACATCTAGGGTGCAACCTCTACATCTGAGACTCACAGAACATAGAAGAGGGCATGAAGAGAACACTAATCCATCTTTCAATTCTCATCAATAAAGCTCCCTCAAGCAACAGAGGACCACGAACACAAAAGGCCACAAATGGCCAAAAGGCAGAGAATAAGAGCTGGTATATTGAGGTCCGCCCACCCAAGGCTCAGAGACTAGTGCAGAAGAGGGGGCAGGAAGATTGTAGGAGCCAGGGAGGAGGTGCAGGACCATACAGAAATAGTCCTACAGATGCCTGGGACCCTTCTCAGACAAATCTATAGCAATGGTGTTAGCATGCACAAGACCCATACAAACTTAGGCAGACAAAAACCCAGCACAGAACTGTGGACATGAATAGTAAGCTCCAATCTTAGTCAAAGAATTATTGGTAGCTGGGTGAGGAAGAGCTGATCTTGAAGGGAGAGTTTCTAGATAGGCTGACTAAACCCTTGTGGAGGAACTTGCACTGAGGGATACCTTGGGAGACTAACTTTACATAATAGGCCTTAATACAAATGACAGATTGTATAAACTGGGTGTGGTGGCGCACACCTTTAATCCCAGCACTCAGGAGGCAGAAGCAGGTGGATCTCTGTGAGTTCAAGGCCAGCCTGGTCTACATAGCGAGTTCCAGGACAGCTGGGGCTACAGGGAGACCCTGTCTCAAAAAAAAAAAAGACCAAAAACAAAGAAACCAAAAAAAAAAAAACAAAAAACCAAAAACAAATGACAGAATGTATGAACTCCAGTGGGGGGAGGGGGCACTATAGGAGGTACCAAAGGGGAAGGGAGGAGAGGGTATAAAGATGATTTTATGTATGAAATACACAAAATTTCAATAAAAAATTAAAAATAAATAAATGAAAAAAATTAACTCAAGCTGAGAATATCTTGGTGGTAGAGTATGCTTGCCTAGCATGTGTGAGAGCCTACGTTCAATGCCCAGTACTGAGAGTGTGTGTGTGTGTGTGTGTGTGTGTGTGTGTGTGTGTGATCATTTGGAGCCAAAACTTAGATTTTAATGCTTTTCACCACCGCTAGCAAGGTGACTTTAATTACATTATTTCACTTTCTGAGGCTATTTTCTCAGCTAAGAAAAGATAATGTTACCTTTGC